AATATATATATATATATATATATATATATATATATATATATAATATATATATATATATATATATATATATATATATATATATATATATATATAAACTTTATATTTAAAGTTTCTAAAAAAATAGAATTTTTCGATTGCCGTCGCTTCCGATCCGAAAAAAATCAATTGCCGGACATTCCAATTTCTGGAATTCCGATTTTTTTGAAACGGAATTATAATGGATTTTTCAGTTCTGAAAAAATCAATTTTTTTCCGAATTGCACTCCGATCCCATCATCGGATTTCCACCCCTCCGTTCTATTTTCGGATCGTAGTCCTAGTTCACAGTGTGAACAGTTTGGTGTGAGGTTCAAGAGGGAGGGAGCTGCGTGAACTCGTATCACGAAGAATGCAATCGATGAGTATTTTCGAGGGTGAAGCTCTTCTAAGAGTTGTCATCAGCTCTTCTATAAAAAAAAAAGTTTTAATAAGTTGCGATGTACTGGTGTTCGACTAACCAATGATCTACGTTGTTTTGGTCGTGTACTCATGTTCTGTATCTAGGCACTTTGTTCAACGATACTTTTCAAACCTGATGTGTTCATTGCTATGTTTCGCAAATTGCTTAAGAAAAAATAATAATGGTATACCACTCGTAATTCCTGAATATCTGCCGATCTCGATCAAAGCGAGATCCTAAATCATCTTCTAAACTTGCACTACTTTAAGATGCATCAACAAAATAAGGACATCGATAAACAGTTTTCAGAATGAAATTCAAGAAACTCCGACTTATTTTGGCTAATTCAGATAAAGTCCAGGCAAATCTCAACAACATAATAGCCCAAATAAGCCATAAAATCAAAATTTAAATGAAAGCGACAAGCCTCAAAAATCCAATCCAACTCCACTCCCAACACTACATTTTAACTCTGTACTTCACCCATGACGATAAATCCATAAACTTGAATCTCAATAGATGGTCAATCATCTTGTTATGAGAAACAATACATGTTCTTTGATGGATTAATAATGCAGAGTTGCCGACACAAACAAATTAAATTCGAAAGACACATATAATCTTTCACGTAATCATTTCATGAACGAGTACATGTTCTTTCACTTTCACGTAAAACAACTTATTTGCAAGCAACGAAATTGTATGCATGCTTGCTGGCATTTTTATATCAGCCAAGTTTCTCGTTTCCAGAGACTTCCAAATTACATATAGCGCACATGAACATACATGAGAATCCAAAATCAGGACAGAGGGTTAAAACTTGCTCGATATAACAAATATAGCAATTTTCTATTCAACGTAGAGAAAGTCTCCAACTAAGACGACTTACTTTCGGAACTATTTATAACCGAAATTCAATCTACTTTCCTTAGATAGTATAAATTTTACCCCCCTCTCCCCGGTTTTGCGTAAATCCTTGTTATCCAAATACTCATCAGTGCAACTTATTATGTGTTCCAAAGAAAGAAATACCTCGACAAGTACACAACGAAGCGGGCCCATCATGAATTGTCCGTGCTTCCACCTTTGAGGATATTTAATTGCAAACGATGAATCGCATTGGTATAATTTTATTTTTTTTTAACAACAGAGTACTCAACAGGAAAGCAATTAAACAGATATTAAGAGACTAATTATCATAATATTTTTTTTTTGTTAATATTGAATTAAAACAGATTACAACCATAATTGCCATAAACTCCAAATTTCTACTCTCCAATATACGTCCATATCAATATTATATACCCATATATCATCATCATATTATATATCATCAGCATATTATATACCCATATTATATATGATCATCATATTATATACCCACCACCCATACAATAATGCCCTGCACGCACGATTTATAACCTAATGGACAAATTCCACAACGATGGTAAACTCATGTTCCTCGTCAGCTTGGCGAACTATCCAAAACAATCTTGGTTCTCCATTTCGCTGGCGAAGGATCTTCACACGTCCGCGGAAGCCCCAACGGTCCTTCAGCTTGCCCAGATCTGCAACGTCTTCCTTACTGACCACAATGACGAGAGGGATCTCGTCTGCAATCGTCTCCACCTTGTTCGTTGCAACCATCCAATGGTAATGTGCGATACGGTACTTGCGACTCCGTTTCTCAAGTTGATGCGCCTTCACCTTATCACGAGCCTTTTCGGTGATTGCCATCTATTTCGCCTTCATCTCTTCCCTCTTCAATGCTACGCCGAACTTGCGCAGTTTGTCTAGGGTTGAAGAAGAATGGATAAACGGAGGAGAAGAGGGGGGGCGGACTCTCCTTGCATGCCTTCGTCGCGCCATAGCTTGATTTGATCTGAATTGAAATTGAATTGAATTGAAATGAAAAATGGTAGATCTGATTTCAAAAACCGACTAATATATAGTAGACACGGCCACATGCCGGTTTGGGTCGGTTCAAACCGGTTCACGGTTCACATTTTCCGGAACCGGAACCGGCCCGTAGTATGGGCGGTTCAGCGGGCCGGGTCGACCCGGAAATTTTGAATTTTTTTTTTTTAATATTTTATGAATAAGTAAATTAAAAGAAGTACTTTTAAATAGAAAAATGAAAAGAAAATAAATGAAAAGACTTGAACTTAATTTTAAATTCAAAATTTTAAAGATTTCGAATTTAAAATGAAGTTGCCTACGTATCCATTTTTTTTTTGGAAATGAATTTAAAGATTTTGGAAATGCAATACAATTTTTTTTTGATTTTTTTTTTACTAACAATTGAAGAGAAATTCTAAAATGCAAAAGAACTTTTTTTTTTTTTTTTTTTTTACTAAGAACCGAAGAGAAATTCGAGAATGCAAAAACTAAAGAGAGAATTGAACTTTACTAAACTTTGATATTGAAGAAGTAGAGAGAATTGTGAGTGAATTGGTGAGAAATTGGGTTGGGGTGTGAGGGTATTTATAGGAAAAATTAGGGGGAAAAAATTCAAAAAAAAATAAATAACGGCCGGTTCGGGCCGGTTCACTAGCCGTTATTTGCTTTTTTTTTGAATTTTTTTGAATTTTTTTTTTTTAAATCCGGGTGAACCGCCGGGCCGGCCCGACGGTTCACGGTTCACCATTTCTCAGAACCGGTCCCGTCCCGGGGGACGGGCCGGTTCACGGGTCCGGACCGGTTCACTCGGTCAACGGGCCGAGTTGGGCCGTCAACGGGCCGGTTCGGGCCGGTTCCGGGCCCAAAATCGGCCTGTGGCCGTGTCTAATATATAGAATACTCTGTTTTTTCTAAGCACCGTAGGATCTATATTTTACCGACGGTTTGGATCAGTTTTAACCACTTAATGTGGATTGACGTTTTAAGCCGTTGGATGACTGTCTTTTATCAATGGTTGTGATTTGTTTAATATCATAGAACCACAATCCAAGTCACCCCTATTGTGATTAGCTGAAAATCATCTTTAATTAAAGAAGAAGAAAGAAAAACTAATATTCCATTAAATTGAATCTCGTTGCAATGGGAAATGCCATTAAAAACCTACACTTCAATAATTTGAAATTCATATTGAGTCTCCCATCCAGAATGGTAAATATGCCATTCTTCTTGTGTGTGTTTTTTTTGAAATAAGTTTTTTGAAATAAGCTTTCCCCTTAATTTAATTCAGAGTCGAGTGATGGTTTTTAATTAAGCTCAACGGTTTTACCTAATACAGATAAGGGTAAATTACTAAAAACTTCCCAAACTTAGGATACATTACGAAAAACACTAGGGGTGTGCACGGGTCGGTACGGCTCGGTTTTTCCAATAAACCAAACACGTATCGATAATATCGATTTCTCATATTTTAAAAACCGAATATATCGGGTTTTTTCGGTTCGGTGTGAATCAGTTTTTCGGTTTTCGGTTAACCGTTTCGGTATCAATTGGGGTTATTTTCGGTTTCGATTTCGTCTATTTGTTCGAACCGGTTCGGCATAAAACCCATGTATTTGAACTTTCATTATATTTATTTGAGAAAATTAACAAATAACAACAAAAAATTAACTAATAAAAAACACGTCACAACCAAAATTAATTAATAGAAAAAGATGTCACATGGAGGCGCTCGAAAGATAGACGCACGCTAGGGTAAGTATCTATAATATATATCAAAAATACATCATTTTGTATAAATCGGTTCGGTTCGGGAAATCGGTTCGGTAATTTTTAAATTCTCCATACACAAACCGATATTTTCGATTTTTCAAAAAATATTTACCGTATATGCAGTTTTAAGTCGGGACGGTACATATCGGCTCGGTTTTTCGATTTTCGGTTCGATTTTTCGGTTTTTTTGCTTACCCTTAAAAAACACCACCTATCAATAGTTACAAAAATTTTGCGGCGGTTGTTTATATCTTACACCAAATTCTTATTGTGTGATTTTTCACATTATCTTTTCTATTCTAGGGAATATTATCCAAAAAATGTCAATTATACCCTTACAGACGTGTCATTTCTTTTATGCTATTTTTTAAAGAAAAAAATTACACTCGGATTAGTTATAGTAATACTAAACAGTTGTGTGTGTATTATCTAAGAACAATAAAGATTCCATATAAATGTGCCATTAGGGTAATTTTTTCTTTAAAAAGTAGAGTATAGAAATGCCGGGTTTGTGGAGGTAAAATCAACATTTTTCGGGGAATATTCTTTTGAATAAAAAAAAAATCGTGAAAAATCACCCATATAGAAATGCCGTGTTTGTGGAGGTAAAATCAGCATTTTTTGGGGAATATTCTTTCCAATAAATAAAAAAATCATGAAAAATTACCCGTTAAAGGACTCGTGTAAAACGGTAACAAACGTAAAATTATAGAGAATATCTTTAAGGTACTCTCAGTAATAGTCCTACAAATGAAACCAAAGGGACAACACTAAAACCTCGATATTACAGACTTGCAGAATACAAAACTAAACTATGCAACACCAGTCAAATCTACAACAATAATTATCTCAATATTCGATAATTAAAAACAAAGCAATTCCTGAATAAATAGAGTACACAACATCACAGTCACTTAAACTCATAAATACTATAAAAGACATAATTTAATAGAATTAAGAGTTAAAGAAGAACAAAATCAATGTGTTTGGGTACTACTATCAGTGGTAACTGTAGGTCTACGTTAGTCCTTGTACTTTGATCTATATCTAGTAGCTCCTTGCAATGTATTGCACGGCCCATTTTGACTTGAAAATGAGTGTCGATAATTAATTTCTCGAGAGCTATGCAATTCTCCAAAATGTATCTCACAAATTCCAAATCACTGCTGCTACCGCAATAGCCAAGGAACTTGAACACTTTTAGGTGCTCGTGTGCAACCTTTAAGGGATTCTTCTTCACTTTTCTTCTTAATAATCTCGAAGGTTCATCACAAATTGACTGCCAAAAAAAAAAACATATATTATTGCTGCCAAGTATGAGAAAACGAACATCGTCTACTACACAAACATATTTGTGAAAATACAGAGCTGAAAATATGGAACAAATTGCATACACAAATACAAGGTCAAAACATACCTCAAAAACAAATTCCTGCAAGTTGGGACATGCCCACATCAAAGGGGTCAGCCCGATAAAACTTTCTTTATCTTTTACCGTATAATTAATGACCAACTTCTTGAGTTTAGGGAGTTGAGGAAACATGGAGAGCAAGTCACCTGCCTAAAATCCACCGCAAGTAAAGAGTATCTATTATTATGTGTATATAAAATAAGAAAGAAATAACGAACGAACACGAATCCCATTGTCTAACCTCTGGGTAGAATGGCAGCACCAAGGAAAGACTCTCCAATTGGAAAATGCGGCCAGAAAGTGCAACTAATAACTTTTCCACTGGATCTACAGTACAAACACAGCTTACAGATACCTCAACAAGCATTGGGACATTTTCAAGCAAGAGTCCTTTTACATTCGGAAGAGTAAGTGAAGTAAGATTCGGCGCAGAAACCTTGATGGATGTCAAATTGTGGCAGGACTGTAACTCCAAGTGCTTTAGATCAAGGGATGAACCACAAACTTCAAGATTTGATAACTCAGATGCGTTGTGCACAACCAATTTCTCGAGAAAAGGGCAAGTGCGCAGAAAGAACTCGATAGCTTCACCTGACACGTTAACAAATCTCATAGACAATGCTTTGAGGGACTTAAAGTCGATACATGAAGCGGGTTCCAATATGGATGCCCCACCACTAGTTCGAGTCAACAACTCTTCAGGAAAGGCATAAGTTTTGGACCAGGGACGCCAATTCATAATTGTTGGTGAAAGGTCCAACTCCAAAATCCGAACGCGTCTAGAAAATGCAAATTCAAGCCACCGATTAACTGGCTCGCCAGTAGATCGGCACAAATCGAAAGATATCCTATATTCGTTCAAGGTGGCTTCTTTGTGAGATGTGAGGACCGAATTCACCCATTCCACGTATTTGCGCCTCTCTTCACCCAATAATTCTTTTGCCGATTTTTCATCCCATAACCTCTTTTGTTCTGCATCAAAGTTGAGACAAGGTATGTGTTTCCACAAGTTTATCCAACGAGAAGAAAGAACGCTAGTGCGTGCAGCTTCCTTGAGCGATAGAAAAGATGATACGATGGTGACGAGAATATCATCCGGCAATTGACTTATCCTATCAACATCACTATGTTGGTATCTCTTCTTAGCACACTGTAATAATAATAATAATAAAAAGAAAAAAAGAAAAAAAAAATATAGTCAAAACTAAATAAACAAAATTCCCCACCTTCCTGAATTACCATCTACTTGCTAAATTATTATAATCCACCAAGGAAACTCAGTCGTGTTCAACATTGAACAGAAAAATAAACTATCAGCCAAGAAAATTAGGGTTAAATTGTATACCAAAAATAGGGATTTCAACGCAGGAAACGTAAAACACATAGCATTAACCGAAACGACAATTGAAAGAAGAAAAAAGAAGAAGGTTGAGTTTTGCAGGTAACAAACAGCAGGATTTTAGAGCTCACCTTTTTCAATTGGAAATCGGAATCATGTCTGAGTCGTTTCCCACCCATAAAGATTGAATCTTTGAATGTATTGAGAGCTCCGAATTTCTACACAAATACTTTTCTGAAAAAAAAAACCCAGATTTTCACTGGAGATGGAGCAGTGCTGCAACTGGATTTGATTTGAGTTTCCCTCAAAAAAGGAATATAAAATAAAATAAAGGAAAAAATGAAAAGAAAAAAAAAAAAAAAAAACGAAGAAGAAGCTCAATTCTGAAGTCAACGAGCGAGAGTCAACCCTGGGCTTATAAAACTATTGTCTATATTGTGCTTAGCCCAAAACCTGGTCCAAACCTCACTTATTTGATTGGCCTAGCCCAAAAACACTTTTTTTTTTATATAATATTTATTTATTATTATTATATAATTTTTTCCTTTTTTTTAAGTCCTATCACAAAATTAAATTGTTATAATTTTATCACCAACTTCTTCGGTTTACGTTATGTGAATTAATTTCTCGACAAAATCTCGAAAACAATGGGCAGATACTTCAACAAGCATTGGTACATTCTCAATCAAGAGCGAGTGAAGTAAGATTCGGAGCGAAAACCTTAAGAAAAATCAATGCGTGACAGCCCGTTAATTTTAGGGATGGACCACAAATTTCAAGATAATTTGTTATCTTAATTTGAGCTGTGAGCAATCAATTTTTCGAACAAAGAGCTCGATCGCGATTTGAGGGACTTAAAGTCGAAAAGGGGAATACACGGAGGGTTTTCGGTCAATATAAATTTGTTCTCATGCTCCTAACTAATGGGGAGAGAATTATTAGAAAGTGTATTGATAAGAAGGGGTATTTTAGTCCGTTAATAGCATACTTTTTTCGTTACGAACGAAACATAATATGGCACGGATGAAGTATATAAACATTATGAACTAGTCAATCACAGGGCACCTCTCGGAGGTTCGATAATGGAACAACAATAATATTAAGTTAAAGAATAACCAATTCAATGTGGTGAGGTACTTGTGCTTTAAGTTGTTGCTTCGCGTTGTGATGTTTTAACGTATAATAAAAATCAAAAATTATTTTCTCGAGCACGACACAACTCTCCAACATGTACCCAACTAATTCAATGTCGTTGGCGTGACCGTAATAGTCGCAGAACTTGAACACTTTAAGGTGATGGTGCGAAAATTTTATAATATTCTTCACTCCTATATCAGACTTCGAATGTCCCCATCGAACTAACTGCACACGCAAAAAAAAAAAAAAAAAATCAAGAACTCAAACATAAGTCGAATGTTGTAGATTTAAAAGAGCATCGGTCTAGTCAAATATGCTCGAAGACGTACGTTTAAAACAAATTCCTGCAAGTAGGGAGATGCCCTTATTAGAGGGGTGAGTCCCATAAGACTTTCGTCGTGTCCTCCCCGATATTGTATGGCCAATTTCTTCAATTTAGGCAGTTCGGGAAATGTGGAGAGAACAATTTCCTACCGCAATTAAAGAAAGTAATTTGTAACGATTATTTCTAAAATAAAAAACGAGTATGAAATAACAAAACCGCAATCCGATTGCCTAACCTCCGGGCTGGCTGTTAGCTGCAAGCTAAGAATCTCCAATCGGAAAATGCAGCAAGAAAGTGCCGGAAGAATATTCTTGACGGAATCTCGACACCCAAGGCTAAAAGTTACATCAACAAGCATCGGAACATTCTCAAGAAAGAGCCCTTGTGGTCCCGGAACACTAAGTGAAGCAAGATTCGGCGCGAAAACCTTAACTGATTTCAAATCGGAGCATGTTAACTCCAAGTGTTTTAAAACCAAGGACCGACCGCAAACTTCGAGATTAGATATTTTATACGAGTCTTCCACGGCCAATTCTTCGAGCAAGGGGCAGTTGCGTAAAAAGAACTCGACAGCTCCATCAGTAACCTCGACGCTTCTCAAAGACAACACTTTGAGGGACTTGAAGTCGATACTTCCGTTCAGAAAGTACTCTTCGGGGAAAACATAGTGTTCGTGCCGATACCCAAAGTAGTCCGAATTCCGCGAAAGGTCCAACTCCAACGTCTCGACGTTCCTCGCAAATGCGAATTCAAGCCAGCGAGTAATATCGTTTCTGGCCAACCGATTAAGTTCGTAAAAGACGGCGAATTCTTTCAACGTGGCGGCTCTATGCGACCGGAGTATGCAATTCACCCATTTCACATACTTTCGCCACTTTACGACAACGGCTACCCCTTTTTGTTTCGCAATCCTGTCCGGCAAACTGTGCGCATCAAAGACGAGACGAGGGTTGTGTTTCGACAAGTTTATCCAACGAGACGAAAGAACACTAGTGCGTGCGGCTTCCTTGAGCGATAGAAACGACAGGACATAGACGAGAATATCGTCCGGCAACTGACTTATCCGATCAGAACAGTTAACGAACAGTAAGACAGACATACCAACTTAAATCGCGCAAAACTAAATTATCGTAATCCCCCACAAACCTAAATTTATTGTTTCAAATTTAAGATCAAGGTTCGAATAATATTATATCATCGAAGAAAAACTGAACTAGTGTTTAGCTTCTTGTTGAGAGCTCACCTTCTGAAGTTGAAGTATCGAATCAAGTTCTCATTTCCCCGCCGTTAAGCTTCAATCTCCGGACGGAATCTTCGGAAATAAATCACAGAACCTTACCTATTTAATTAGGTCGTGTAGTGCAGAATGAGAAGAATCTTTCAGCACTTAATAAGTTAATATGGTGCATGCCACGACTAGTAGAGTTTCTCATTATTTAAAAGAATGTTTACTTTTGCCTTTAATTAGTTATTATCAGTGAATTATATTTAGGCCACTTGAGCCGCCGATTCCGATCCTAATATTTTAAATTCTTGAACAATATTTTTCGTCCCGGATTTCGAAACTTCCGATCTCCGATTTTTCAATTTCTAGCCCGGTTTTAATTTCCGAAAATTTAAAAAAGAAATTCCGAAGTTACACTAATAATATTAGTTCAAACTCATAATTACATGAACAAAATAGATAAATTTTTCCCCTTGTTTAATTTAGTTTTGATAACTTTTATTTACTTCTAGATATTATTATAAAAAACAAGAACTGCATGTATATAAAAAAGTTGGCCATAATAGATTCTTAATAAACGTTAACCACAAATTACTAATACCAAAAATAGCTAGTAGTATCCTACGCCAATGAATTTAAAAACTGGGAGCCAAACTGCAAAAAGGAGTCCACATACATTTGATCATATATATATATATATATATATATATATATATATATATATATATATATATATATATATATATATATATATATATATATATATATATATATATATATATATATATATATATATATATATATATTTCCCATATATCTGCAGGGTTTTCATAATCATTTCTTCATCCCCTCTCTGTGTATTAATTCATTCGTATTTCGTCGTATTTTGTATATATACGAGGTTTAAACCAGGCTACTCTGCTCTGGTTTTTACCTCACATATATACCGTGTCGTCGAAAACGACATTTTTCTTGCAGGTTTGTATTGTTTGGTTTATAAGAATCTGCAGTATGCATGTTAAACGCAGTATCGAACGTTGATTTGTATATGAATTAATGATTAAAAATTAAAATATCGTTTGTCAAATTAAACAAAACTATCTATATGAATTATAACAAATTCGTTTAATTTCGCCAAAATTCGATTTCATTTGTACGTATTAATTTCACGGTTTGAATCGTCGTCGATCTTTTTTCCCGACAGAGAGCCAATGGAAGACGACAAGGCCGATATCTATACCAAAGATGGTACCGTGGACTTTTACAAGAAACCTGCTAACAAGGACAAAACCGGAACTTGGAAAGCCTGTCGCTTCATTCTTGGTCGACTTTACGAATTTCCTAAATTTTCGTTACTAAATATTTTCTTCAACCTCAAATTTTTTATAATATTGTGAAACCCTTTTCGATTTCGTACAGTGACCGAGTGCTGTGAGAGATTAGCATACTATGGCATGGGCACAAATTTAGTCAACTATCTCACAACACGCCTCGGTTTAGGCAACGTTGCTGCATCGAACAGTGTTACAAACTGGTCGGGCACATGCTATATTACACCTCTCCTCGGTGCATTCCTGGCCGATTCTTACCTCGGTCGATACTGGACCATCGCCACTTTCTCTTCCATTTATGTTCTCGTAAGTAATAATAAAACTTCACTACATTTCCTCGAAAAAAAAATACATACACTAAAAAGATTCCCTTTTTCGTTTTTGTTTTAAGGGAATGGCACTCTTGACAATGTCTGCTTCAATCCCGGGACTAAAGCCCGAGTGCGTCGACGATGTCTGTCACCCAACGTCTTCACAGACGGCTACCTTCTTTGCAGCACTGTACTTAATAGCGCTCGGAACTGGTGGAATAAAACCGTGTGTTTCGTCTTTCGGTGCTGATCAGTTTGATGAGAGTGACGAGACGGAGAAGAAAAAGAAGAGCTCGTTTTTCAACTATTTTTATCTGTCGATAAATATAGGCGCTATGATCGCTTCCTCGGTTTTGGTGTGGATACAAATGAATGTGGGGTGGGGTTGGGGTTTTGGCGTGCCTGCAGTTTCGATGGCTGTTGCGGTTATTTTCTTCTTCGTTGGAACAAGTCTTTATCGGATTCAATTACCCGGTGGAAGCCCGTTGACTCGAATCTGCCAGGTTTTGGTTGCGTGCATGAAAAAAGTCAACGTAGAAGTTCCAATGGACAAGTCCCTTCTTTATGAAACTGATGATAATGAATCTAACATTCAAGGTAGCAGAAAGCTTGAGCACACAGACAAGTTCAGGTATTCTCTTGATTCTTGAAAAGAATTTTTTTTTTTTTTGGAAAGTTTAAGGTTAACTAAATTAAGAAATGATTGGATGTCTTAGGTTTCTTGACAAAGCTGCGGTGGCGACAGAATCCGATGAGAATGTGAAGCCATGGAGTCTCTGCACGGTGACACAAGTGGAAGAATTCAAATCGGTACTAAGACTGCTTCCGATTTGGGCAACCGGCATAGTTTTCTCCACAGTGTACAGCCAAATGAGCACGATGTTCGTTCTGCAAGGCGACACAATGGACCAGCACCTCGGTCGGAATTTCAAGATTCCAGCGGCATCTTTATCCCTTTTCGACACACTCAGTGTAATCTTCTGGGCACCTGTATACGACCTAATAATCATCCCCATCGCAAGAAAGTACACGAAAAACGAAAGAGGGTTCACTCAGCTCCAAAGAATGGGAATCGGGCTAGTGATCTCGATTTTCGCCATGGTTGTGGCTGGTTCACTCGAAGTCAGTCGATTAAATTACGTCCGAAAAAATAACTTGTACGACGAAAAGACCGTTCCCATGACTATCTTTTGGCAAGTTCCGCAGTATTTCTTGGTTGGTTGTGCGGAGGTTTTTACGTTTATCGGGCAGTTGGAGTTTTTTTACGATCAAGCCCCCGATGCAATGAGGAGCCTTTGTGCTGCGCTTTCGCTTTCGACGAATGCTTTGGGGAATTATTTGTGCACTGCTTTGGTGACTATTGTGGCTAATGTTACTACAAGAAATGGAGGGCTAGGATGGATTCCTGACAAGAATTTGAATAGAGGGCATCTTGATTACTTCTATTGGCTGCTGGCTATACTTAGTTTGATCAACTTCTTTGCCTATTTATTCATTGCTAATTGGTATACTTACAAGAAAGTTGTGGGCAAATCTCCTTGATTCTTTAATTATTAAGCTAATTGTAATTCAAAAACAGATGTATTAATTCTGTCTATTTATTAAAATAAAATAAAATAAAATTAATAAGATAAGATCTATTGATTGAAACTATGTGGGACCAAACTATTTGTGGGCCCAAAAAGAAGAAGAAAAAAAAAACAATATATATGAATATCATATTTGAGCAAAAGATAATGCAAATATGATGAGAGGTCCAAAACACCTTGTACTGTGTGCATATTCCAGTATTGAATCTCTTACTCTGTTTTACTACTTCCTCAACAACAACAAATTATGATTTCACTTAAAGCAATACAAACCTCATTTACTACCAGCCATGGACCTTTTCCAGAGAGAGAAACTTTTAGGAAGAGGAGGTTCTTCCTCGCTCTCTGCAAATCCAACACGTCGTCAGATAATTCAGATGAAGAAACTCCACCACCACCACCTCAAGGAGATAGCCGTAAGCAGGAACTTCTTGTGAAGATTGCTATGCTTCAAACACAAAAAGTTCGTCTCACCGGTTACTTGGATGAACGATCAGCGTATCTTACCCAATTCGCCGAAGAAGCCAATGCTGAAATGGACCAGATTGGAGAGAATGCACTCAAAGAATTGGATGAAGCTGGAGCTAGGGTCTGTGTTTTTTTATTTCCTGTTAAGAAAAAAAAGGTGGGCTTGTCTAAGCACATTATGATTTGATGATAACGGGGTTTTATTTCGTGTTTTTATTGAGCAGATAATGGAGAACATAGAGAGTAAAATGCAAGCATTTGAGGAGTCTGTGGAGTTGAATAAATCGGAGATTGAAGAGAGTGAGAAAGTGGTTGCGGACTTTGAAGGACAAATTGAGGACGACAGAAACGAAGGGCTGTTTTTCAAGAACCTGAGGGAGAAAAAGCCGGTGGACAAGGCAATAGCTATGGAAGAGGCAATGAAAATCACGGAGCTGACTAGGAAAACTGCTGGTTCGATAATCAGAAAGAACATTTACCTTGCGCTGATTGTCTTGGTGGGTATCGGAATTGCTGATGCGTCACTTTCTTCAGCGTTCGACTGGAAGAAGGTTGCAGTTCTTGGGGTTATTCTGGTGGGTTTGCTCTCTCAACTCATCTATGAACAGAGTATGTTAGCAAAAACAGACAAAGTAGAACAAGAGAAAAGCGAAGAATCTAAGTAGCGAGGTGTTCGTTTCTCTGGTGATTCGTTTTACAAACAAGTTGTTCATAGCTGTCTACCGAAGTTGGCATAAATTAAACACGTATACGTTAGAGGAAAACAGATGAGTTAGGTTATAAATGTGTGCACATTCAAATGTAGCATGAGTTATAACTCCAGATAAAATACTAATATCTGGGGCTGATATATCACGCCAACCTTTATGTTGCATCATATATAGTTTTCGGTGACACAACTTTAATCACCAAATCCATGTTAATGCTGTGTAATGAACTTATTTCCGAAACATAATCAAACACATAAAAGAAATTTTGCTTCTCAATAAACATATATCTCTAGAGCCTAGATTAACATAGCACAAAAAGGTGAAGAGTAAAAGCAAGCAACAAGATTGAAAAGTTCAAAAGAAGATGAGTATTATATTTATATTGATTATTATGTAAGAGAAATGGACACTCGTCGTATTAGTTTAAAGCTAATACAAAGCAGTACTCTACCTCTTTGAAATTAATAATATGGTTTTCTATTGATTTTTTTGCAACCTGCTCTTCTCGCTTACTATCAGGCATCCACTGTGAGAAAATAAGGATTAGAACATTGTACCATAGAAGACATACCTTTAATTTAAATGTAAAGTTGCGGCTGCGCAAAAGATAGTCGACTACCTTTCATCACTGGTTTCAGCAAAACATAAGCCAGTAAGAAAGAGAAAAAAAATCCCAGCGTCATCCAACCAGCCACTGTACAATCACCAAAGATGATGGCCAGGCTGTTTCATCCAATCTAACAAAATACACAAGCAATTAAATGTTGTTAAACAATCCAAGAATTTCATATTACCCAGCCAAGGAAGCAACTGACCTCCAAATCCAAGACTATATTAGTAAAAGATTATCGATCGAGGAATAGCTAGCAAGCTGACCTATCAGAACAGCATAGTTGATGAACCGGACCGGGTCGGGTTCCAAGTAAAAGTACAACCAATGTCTCAACCAAGAGAATCATTTCCGAGCCCCAGAAAGGACAACAGCTCTGACAAGTATGTTCCATGTAATTAGGGTCGGAACAATTTTATTTGTCAAGGCATTGTGTAAGAACAAAATGGCAACTGATATTCTGTTGCAAGAACAAAGACCTTTGAGAGTGATGTTATAGGAAATAACATCCGGCTGCAGCCCGTTTCTTAATATGCGAGCCCAAATTACCGAAGCATTTTTTATATCGCCATCTTTATAAAACCCCTCCATAAGTGTGTTGTGGGTAACAAGATTTGGAGCGCAGTTCCAATAATTCATATTCAAATACAGTGACAGAGCAAGCTGCGTTTTGCCAACAGAACAGAGCCCATGAATCAAAATATTATGCATCTGTACATCAGGTTGAAAACCATTGCTTGTTACCTGGTTCCACAAATTAATAGCCATCTCTATTTTATGGCTACGACAGAGACCTTTTATCAACAAGCTATAAGTGATAACGCCTGGCTTCAATCCTTTCTCTAGCATTTCCTTCACAAGGCTATATGCTTCAGCAAACCTTTCACCCTTGCACAACCCATTAATAAGAGTATTGTAGGTAACAATGGTAGGGGAACAATTCCTATTTTCCATTTCACGAAAAAACCTAATTGCATCCTCAAATTTAGAAGCAGCTACGAAGCCGTTGATTAAAGCATTATAAACATGAGCATTTGGCTTACAGCCACTCGTAATCATACCTTTCAGCACAGAAACTGCTTCATCTAATTTTGCTTCTTTACACAGCCCATTAATCATTGCTGAGTAAGCAAAAGCATCTAGAACACCTCTATTCCTCTCAGCAGTTTGCAACACATGTAAACTCTTATTATTGTATCCATTCTCGCAAAATCCATGGACTAAAATTCCATAAGTTGTTGAGTCAGCTAGAAAACCACTTCCCTTCATAAGCTCCCAGATCGAAATAACTTCATCTACCTCACCATTACTGAACAGCCCTCTCATCATTATGTTAAAACTTGCAACATTTCGACAACCCTCTCTTCCCATCAACTCCCACAACTCAAAACAATCTTTAATCCTTCGAACCCTAAAAAAACCATTCAACATTGCATTATATACAACAGCATCAGGTGAAATCTTGCTCTCAGCCATCTCCTTATAAACCCTCTCTGCGCCATCAATATCCCCCGACTCACACAACCCATGAATCAGAGCACTGTATGTGAACAAATCCATTTTTTGCTCATTCTTTGTCATCCTTTCCCACAATTCCCGGGCCTCGTTAAACCTTCCACATTTACACAAGCCACTAATCATAACATTGTATGTAACAACACTTGGGTAAGCACATGAATCCTTTGTCAGCCTCTCCCATATCACATCGGCCGCCTTATAGTCGCCTATCTTAAAAAACCCATCAATTAAAATGTTATAACACGTAACATCAGGCCTCAGGCCTCTCTCAAGCATTTCATCAAACACCTTCAGGGCCTCAGTTAAATCCCCATTCTTTGACAATCCATTAATCAAAGTTCCATAGCTATATACATCCGGAATCAAATCCATTTCCCACATATTATCAATCAACTTTCTCGCATTGTCGAAATCACTCTTTTTACATGCAATTTTTATCAAAATATTAAAAGTTTCTAAATTCGGAGATACACCCATTGTGCGAAAATGCTTAAAGAAAAGCTCGGCTTTATCCAGTTTATTCGAAACGACGAACGCATTCAGCAAGCAATTATAAGACCTCACCCCGGGTTCACACCCAAAAACCTCCTTCATTTTCTGGAAAACTTCCATAGCTCTCTCCGCCATTAGATTTCGCGAATAAATTTTCAAAACGGATAGTGCAGTGTCTTCGGAGCAAGAGCATTGCTGTACACGAATGAGGTCAACAATGCGAGTGATGTGAGGGAGGAGACTGGGGTCGGCGGAGAGAGAGAGGCGGCGGAGGATGTGGTGGAAGACCGCCGCAGAGTGTGTGTAACTAGGGTTGCTACTGGCTGAGTTGAACAGGTTGAGAGCTCCGTTAATATTCTTCTCCGATTTGAGAAGCTGAATGAGGCGTTTGTTGGTCAGGTTTTTGTGCAGCTGTGCCATAAGAGAGAGAGAACAGAGCTAGGTTGTCTCTCTCTATATACTTCACTCCACGGTTTGCGTAATATAGTATAATATTGTGGGCCTTGTTGCAACATCTTCCTAGGGCTAATAATGTCTTTTTGTAAATGGATGTAATCTTTTTGGCTTAATTACACTTTGCACCATTTACAATTTTGGCACTTTGCACCCTCGAAATAAATTAATATCACTTTGCACCCTCAAAACACAATAAATCATGCTTAATACACCCCGAATGATTTTTAAAGCTAATAAAGTGATTATTTATTTTTGGCGGTATTTTTTTAAGACAAATGTGAAATCAACATATTTAAAAATTATATTTTTTATCACAAAAAAATATTTTATGAAGTAAAAATAAAAAATCCTTCAACTATTTCGTTATCAAGTTATTTGAAAAATGATATCTTCTTCCAAATATTTCTACCTAATATTTACAATAAAAGTTCATCATTCGAATAATTTAGTGATAAAAGTTTATTTTATGGTATTTTGTAAGAAAATATAGTTTTTTCAACTATCCGGTGCGACTTTTATTTTTTTCCCACTTGTTTCGCTCGAAATTGCTTTTATTATTCAATTCATGGTGCATTGTGATTTATTTATCGTGTTTTAAGCGTGCAAAGTGCTATTAGTATTTTTCAAAGGTGCAATGTATTAAATACTCTATTTCAAGTATACAAAGTGGAATTAAACCTAATATTTTTTACTTTATTATTATTATTATCTGATTTTTAATACTTTTGTTATTATTCAAACAAATGATTTTAATCCTTCATTTACTTTACTCTGATGTACATAAAATTGCAATGTGGGAGTGGAGGTTTCTCCCGCCAAAAATCATTCCATCATTAAATTTGAAATTTTAGACATTCCATGAACTCGGCCCATCATTCTATTTTCCTTAATTAAATATAAATATTGCATTGACTAAATATTCTATTTGGGCCTATTCGAGTTGCCCAATGGACTATCTAATTCAAATCTTATCTTGACTAACTATACCTGTTTGTCGATACCCAAGATAGATTAATCAAATATATATAAAATGCATACATGTCCCGGTCCACCAGACACGTCCGAACCCATACCCGAATTTATATAAAATTTAAACTAAAGATTCATACATGCTAAATGAAAAATAAATAATATGAATGTCTTTCATTACATTTAAATTATGATAATAAATAAATTTCAAAAGACATGACCGCCAGCGGTGCTCGACAATTGGTAGTGATGACTTACGAACAACGGAATTCGAGAAAGTGAAACTATAAAAAAGGGTATAAAAGAGAAATGTAAAAAAAAACAAAAGAAAATGAAACTTTGAGAAATTGAAAACCCTAACTTTAGGGTTCGTAATCGGTGTCTTTTTAACTTCCCCAAACCCGCCCCAAATCGGTCGATTAAGATCTAAAACTCGCTTGATCCGTACCCAGAGTCATTCTTATTCATAATGAAAACTAGATAGAAGAGAAGAGTCTAGAAAGAATTAAAATAAAAAAAAATAAAAAAATTAACAAAAAAGAGAATCTTAAACTTTAAATCATCATAAGCTACTCTAAAAAAAAAAAAAATCATCATAAGCTCCGAAGGGTTTGTTTGGCACACTTCTCTCTCGGAAGAAAAAGTGAAGAGGAGAAATTGTCGACCCAATGTCTAACCAGTTTCATATGCGATTGCGTATAATGTGTACGCTACATAATTTAATACTCCTTGTTCATTTTTTTTAATTATTTATTCATCGAGTAATTCTGAAGTGTTTTCACTTCAAAAATCGCCCCCGTGTTTCTGGTTTCTGTGCACTTAGATCCATCTTCTGTTATGCATTATGCGATATACGAAGTGTTTATATTTGATTACATGTTGTATCTATGCTTTTGGATTCTTTATAAGTAGATGTTTAATGGCGGAAGATTCATGCAATGTGTACTCTGTTTGATTACGGAATATTCCATGGTTATGTATTTCTTTTTGTTTGCCTGAGTATAACTTCCCGATTTTGCATTTTTGAAATTAGGGTTTTAAAATTTGATGTAGCGAGAGAGACCAAAGCTTGTAGTTCATGAGTAATGAACTGTGAGAATTTTTTATTTTTTATTATATGGTTTTTTTGTATGTAGTTCAGTTGTATGTATTGATTGAATTAATTACAATCAGGATTATATCATTTTCATGTAAAATAGTAACTAAATGTTGCATTAAATGCTATTGAATTGTCTTCCAACAAACATGGTATCTTGGTGAAGGTAGAAAACCTAAGCAATTGCCCCTTTGTGTTTCCCGCCTCCCTCCGATCTTTTTTCTGAAGATGAATATAGAATAGAGATTTGGGAATTTGGAATGTAGTACTTACGCTTGTTATGTATGTATATATGGTTTCAGGTTCGGGACTTGCTTTCTAGGAGCTCCGAAAATCGAGTCAATAGTTTTTACCTCCTGAATTGTTGTGACATTGAAGTTCCGAACTGGGGGTTACTCGTCGTTTTATATTCTTGGTTGATAGATGAATAAACAAGTGCGAGTAACGGGGAAGAAAAATGCTAAAGCTGCTTCCAGTAAAGGCATAGAGGATGTGCAGCATAATTCAGTTTTTGGAAGATTTTCTGAAGGAGAAATGATAGCTCAGCTAAAGAGGCTTGCCCTCGATCCCGACGGGGAGCAGTTTGAATCGGATGATATTCAGCCTTTGATGAATCAGATTCTTCGGATACGAAAAATTATGCTCCTTAAAGATTCCGAAATTCCTTGGGTAAGGTTTTTAACGTTCATCTGTTGCGAATTTGTTGGTTTTTGTTCTGTTATTATTGAATCAGACTTTATTTATGTGTCATCTCGTGTTGAAAATTATATGCTTAACTTAATATGATCGTATTGTTTGTCACTGTCCATTTATAGGACGAAATTAGTTTAGTTTCACATAGAAGAATCGGGTTCAGTTGAACAAGGCTTCTTAAAAGTTAACTCTCGTCTGATTGTTTTAGTTCGCTTTGGTTTAGGTTGCTGATTAAGGATGAAATTCGTAAACATTCTTTGTCTACGTAATGTCTAATGTTAGATTTGGGACGTCAATTAATTGACGTTGTCTCGAATGAAGAATACCTACATAAGTTACCTAGTTGTGAATAAGTAGTTCCATAGCTATATAACATTAGCGTGGCTTTGTTTTATTTAGTTAGTATATACTTGTTCTTTCAGTGCAATGATTAATTATGCATTAGTACTAAGTTTGAAGATAGGCATAACAGAAGAAACAGGACAGCATTTATATCTAGAAAACTTTGATTCTACTTTTTTCACCTTGGGGACAGAAAACTTGTAATAACTTTTCCAGCCAAACTTGGAACTTTCCAAATAAACCGTGAAGTATCGGGATGAGATACGCTACATAATTTTGTTCAACTTAAATCAATATCTGTAAGCTCGTGGTCGTTCATGCAGAATAATCATTTTTTTCTTCTTACAGAAAAAGCGGAAACTAGAGCAGTTCATCAAAAAAGATGCTTTGATAGCTCCTTCTGCCTTAGTTTTGCCGAACCAACAAAGCATAGCAAAACTGACTAGGAGGCAGTTATCCCACGCTTCATCACTATCATGCTTGCTCAATTCAGTCGACTCCACCCAATGCCTTGAGTCGAAACTCATCTTTCACTCTCATACTTCCAGCACTTCATCCGCATTTGACGATCTGTCAGAGAAAGATGCATCCGATGACTGCTCCTTTCTAGACAATACAGAATTCTTGAATTTTCCCCACAAAGATACAACTCGAATAGTATATTCGGATAAATCTATAAATGGTTCAAACTTGCTGAGCCCAGAGAAACCGACTGTTAATGAAGTTAGACAATTGCCACCTCATCGCCGCTCACCTAGGTTGCTGAATTCCATCGAAGATCATCTCCAAACAAGTGTCGTTCCAGTTGGGCCCCGTTTCCAGGCAGATGTTCCCGAGTGGAGAAATATCCTTATTGGTGCATATAAGAGTGATTCTGATAATTCCAAGTGGTTGGGTTCAAAAGTTTGGCCAATCGAAATCGAAATCGAAAATATGAAAACCAATAAAAGAAAAATCGGAAAGGGGAGGCTCGATTCTTGTGGATGTCTATCCAAAGGCTCTGCTGATTGCATCAGACAACACATACACGAGGAAAGACTAATTCTTGAACGTGATCTTGGTCCTGCTTTTTTCGCTTGGAAATTTAATGAAATGGGCGAACAAGTCTCGAATTCGTGGTCCCACAAGGAAAGAAAGACTTTCGAGTCACTAGTGAAAAAGAGACCTTCGTCCAATGGGAAGAGCTTTGTGAAACAGGCTTTGAAGTGTTTGCCTAACAAACATAGTAAAGACATTATTGATTATTACTTCAATGTCCACATTCCTCACCGTATGAGCATTCAGACAAGGTCGTTGTCTATAGAACAAATCGATACTGATAACGAGGATGGAGCAGAGAATTTTAATTACATGGGTTTCCAGAAAAAGTCTAGAGGGATCTGCAATGGCAAGGATGCGAAGGCTAGATATTTGCGTGGGGTTTGAGTCCAGTGTTGCTCGACTGCGTTCACATTGGTATCTCTTGGTTTCTTGATATATACATAACATTCTTTTTGTCTCATATCTTAAATCTTAATACCATGGCAAAAGAGAACTAATTGCCATTATTTTCGTTGAAGTTGATGACGCGTGCTTCGTCTCCAATTTAATCCATTTGATTAAGCGTACGCGGTAATTTTTGCTCATACAAGGGTTCTTGTTAGTTGAGAATCAGTGACTTTTAGGTGTTTTGTGTAAAGGAGAATGTAGATTTGGAGCTTATAAGTTGTCAAATATGTGTGGATATTATTAGTTCTGTCCTACAATCAATTATGAAGTTCAATTGGCTTGACGGTACTATATGTTTTTTCTCCATGTTCTGGCTTTAGTTCACTTGGATTTTGTTTGGTTAACATGTTATATACACCTGAATTTAAGTTCCTCTCTAACAAAAAATTATAGAAACCAAATAATCTGAACGGTCAAAATCAAGAATTCTTACCCGATTTGGGCTTAAGTGGCTTGGATACAATTCCTGAAATTGGGCCACCAAGAAATCATTAAATTAGGGCCCAATCATAAAATTCGAATTACGGGCCCAAAACTTAACAACATTTATTAAAAAAATTGCTCTTAAAAAGTTGCAATTTTTATTTTTATTTTTTTGGATGCGAGCCATTTTTTTCTCTTGGTCCCTTTCTTAACATCATCTTCCTTTTAAGTAATCCAACTTGAACTCGCATGTTAGGATGTTTTTTTTCTTGCCACTTTTTTGACTTTTATTTCCATAGATTTATCGATCTTTGAGCTTTTACACTTACCATCACAAAGCAAAAGTATATAATATATAATTTGCTGTTATGAAATGACTAATCTCTCCTCGTAGCTTTTCCAAAAGTTCGAAAATTTCTTTGTTACAGGTTTCTTGTGCTTTTCTGTGATCTACAGCGTCAGGCACTACTTGTACCTGTAATTTACCAGACAGTTAATTTACCAGAAACACTGAAAAAAAATAAAAAATAAAAAAATCAAAGAAGCCTTTGATAATTTTTCCTTAATCACGGTCATAAATCAAGTTAACAGCTCCTAATTACCGAATCTGTTAAACAGAGTGCTGTTAGAAAGGAAAGCAAAGATAATATAAAAGTAAGCGTAGGCGTGCTTCGCGAACTATATAATAGTAACATAAATGAAGAGAGATCAAGATTTCGATCAAATGTTCGAATTCTTTCCGTTGAACCAAGTTACATTTTTGCCAAGTTTTGAGACAAATTTCTCCATTTTCGATTTTCGTCGACCACATCATTGTTTCCCTTTTTTCGGTGGAATTCCCACTTTGGTTTGTTTCAATGATGAGGACTAAATAAAGATGGTAAGGTGATCTCTAGAACACAAACTATTGACCAAACAACTATCATTTGCCAACGAGCAAATAATCATGAAAACCACTCGGCAAAAAAAAAACGTAGTTTCGATTTTTTTCAACAATTATGCATAAACACGAAAACTATGGTACAAATATGACGTAAAACTCCCTTCACTTCATAAGATCCTATCAAAAAGAAAGTTCAAATCGTAAATGGGACCCTTATGCCCCTCACCAAGATAATGGTGCATCGGTGTTTAACTCCGGAAATTTCGCATTTGTACAAGTCGAATCACAAAGGAGGTAAATTCTTAAAGTAGTAGCACTAGAAGAAACGAACAAAGCGAATTAGACGACGAAAATATCAAATCGGATAAGTAATTATTCGTCCTTAATTTAGTATACAATAGAAAGATAGAACATCGATTAAGTATGCATTTTCTCATTATTCAAAAACCCAAAAATAGCATTTCCGATCGAAGATTCAAGATTCAAGATGCATTGCAAACAAAAAATTAACCGAATTACACAACAAATGCAGCAAAATTTAGCACTAAAATCGAAAGAAACAATTAGAGGACCTTTGAATCTCTCAGTACAGCCTCAGTACACTTCTTGCAATCGAATTCGAATTAGTAGGTTTCCCAATTCCCCCTCTTCTGCTACCCCTCATAGGCGTCAAATAAAATCGAAGAAGCCCATTATCCAAATCGTTTGGGGAATACTTAGCGCTCCGATTCTTCTCCAAAACAAACCCGTTCTTCTTCTTCCCATTTTCACTCATCTCCACATTCGATTTTCTCACACTCCCAAACGAACCCCCGATTTGGTTAGCATTACGCCAGCTTACACTACTATTGCTCCGAAACATATTTCTGCTCAATCCACCACCGCCGCCTCTCGCATCTCCATTCCAAGACTCCGATAATGACCGCTCCACCCCATTATTCACCCTACTGTACTTCTCGTCATCTTCCTCCTCCTCCTTAGTGCCGCCACTACGCCGCTGTATAAACCCCCATATCCTCCAACTCCACTTTCTTGATTTTTTCGCATCCTTTTTCTCGTGCACACTACTATCTCTAAACCCACTAGTGCTCAGCTCGAACGTTTCGGATAGATCGTCTCTCAAAGAGTTCGAATTCGAATCCACTAAAACATTCGCCCCGTGAAAGTAATCCACACTCGTCGGAGAAATCTTAGCATTGGACGCCATCTTTAGTTCGTCAATCTCAGCCACCACAGAAGCTGCAGCCTTTCTAATCGAACTAGACCTATCGAGACTCTTCCTCCTTCTAGAAGAAGAATCTAGATAGTACTCCTTCGTCTGAGTCGACCCACCGGGCAAACCCTCGTCCTCGTTAGTTGGTGGTTCCTCCACCGGAATTTGCATATCGGAACGTTTCACGCGTACAGCTGGCATGTCCTCCAATACAGAAACCATCGGAGGCGCCATTCTCGGAAAACTCCTCCCAATCAAGTGACCATCCCACGAAGCTCGAGGCTCGTCGAACGAATACCTTGGACCGTCGAAGCTGACCCTTCCTACATCGAGCGAAAACCTAGGATCCGTGTCGCAAGATCTCCTCCCGAATCCGTAATCAGCGATTTCGGATTGGGTTTCTCTGTACTGCCTTCGAATCGGCTTCTCCACGGGCAATGTGGCTAGATTCTCGCCATTGTTGTGTTTCTTGATCTTCTGTTTTTGTCTCCAGTTGTTCCATTTCTTGCTGAAAACGGAGGCGGCAGACCAAAACCCTCCACCTGAAGGCTTCTTTTCCTGGGTATCGAGATCTATGTGATCTTTCATTGGCTTCGAATCGATTACGCTTACGTTGTCTTCGTCTTCTTCTTCTTCTTCGACAATCTCGCCGCTGTTAACGTCTAGCTCAACCGCATTTATCAGACTACTTTCGAAATGAGAATCTTGAACAGGCCTAATTTCATCGCCATTGGAAGAGATGGTATCCTCTATATTTTCAGGATCTCTAAAATCATCCTCATTTTCCGATTCTTCCGCCACTGGTTTATTTGCGACACAGGATTCACTGTTTTTGCTATTCTGGTGGTTTTGATGACAAGACGAAGCGGAAGCGGAATCTGCGGTGGGTCTATTGTTGTTGAGTGTGAAGAGAGTCGAAAGAGTATTCCTAACCCTAACGTCGCAAGATTTTCTCTGGGGTTCGAAGAAAAGGCCTAAAGCTTCGTTTTTTGAGGCGGAATACGACTTCGTACGGCGGAGTTCGGGCAGCAACGAAGTGGGTTTTGAGGGTTTTGGGAGGGGCGGCGGTGGAGGGGGAAAGTTGTTGGATTTGGAAGTACTGGAGGAGAAGAGGGATTTGATTGCGGCGGCGGCGGCGGCGGAGGCGGAGGACGGGCGGCGGGATGAGGAGGGGGTGTTGGTGGAGGACTGATCTAGAGTGGTGAGGCGCTCGCAGAGGCAAGAGGGGCAGAAGCCGGAGAACTGCTCGGTAGGGTGGCGATCGCAGCTGAAGGACGAGCGCGGCGGCTGCGGCGGAGGAGGAGGAGGCGGAGGCGCTGTTGGGTCTGCAGAAGTGGTATTCATAACCGTTGGAAGTGAGTGTGCAGTCTTCTCCCCCCGCTCATGTTAGTAAACTACAACAACGGCATTGCATTTACAACAATTGTGTGATTTGTGTGTGTGTTTCGGAGAGTGTGGTAGTGTGTGTGAGAGAAAAAAAGAAAACAGAAATTAGCTTGGGAGATTGTGAAATGTTGGGTGAGTGGAAAATGGATTAAAGAGAGAAGGAAAGAGAGAAGGGGAAGAAGGTAAATAAATAAGAAAAAAAAGGGTAAATATTTTCCCTTTTGTCTCTTTTTTTTATTAATTATTTAATTAAATTAAATAAATAAATAATGTGTCTACTTTTCCGTTGGATGCTTTTTTTTTTCTTCTTCCGTCTCTCTCTCTCTGTTTCACACTTGCCTCGAAAACACTGTTTTGTGGTTCACCATAAAATATTAATAAATATATTATTATTATTTCGATTATTATTCAATATTTAAAGTGCATCGTTGTGTAATTACGATAATGGGTCGGTTTTGTATGTCTGTATTTTTTTTAATCTGATACTCCAGTTCCAGGAAAAATAAAATAAAAATAATCCAAAAAATATCTCAACACATGCTGAAATTTAACCAGTCAATTACGTTAATATCAGAAAAGTCAACGTAATGTCTCTTGTCAAACACAGACCTATGATGTGTAATATAATTCAATGTAAATTACTGTCTATTTTATTATAGTTTCAAATTATGAAAAAACATTTTATGTGTAGATAATTTAATGGCTTAATTCCACTTTGCACCCTTGAAATATATCATTTTGGCACTTTGCACCCTCGAAACAAATTAATAACACTTTGCACCCTCAAAACACAATAAATCATTCACAATGCACCCAGAATTGAATAATAAAGGCAATTTCATTTTTCATTGGTATTTTTTTTCGGGGTGCAAAATAAAAAAATAAATTGTTATTTTCTTGAACCTCCAACCTAATTTCGAGCGGACAAAGTGCGAAAAAATAAAAATTACACCGGATTATTTAAAACACCTACATTTTCTTACAAAATAAAAAATAAAAAATAAGTTTTTATCACTAAATTATTCGATTGATGGAGCTTTTATGTAACTGTTTGAAAATATTAGGTGAAAATACTTGGAAGAAAATATGACTTTCAGATTACTTGAAAACGGAATAGTTGAATGATTTTTTTCCGTAAAATATTTGATATTTGATAAATAAATAAAAAATTAATATATAGATAAAATTTATTTTTATTTTTGAACTTTATAGTTTCAAAATGATTGATGAATAAAAAAAATATTTGACATTTGACATCCTAAAAAAAATATCACTAAAAATATTAAATTACATTGTTTAGCTTTAAAAATTCATTTGGGGTGCATTATGCCTGATTTATTGTATTTCGAGGGTGCAAAGTGCTATTAATTTGTTTCGAGGGTGCAAAGTGCCAAAATGGTATATTTCAAGGGTGCAAAGTGGAATTAAGCCTAATTTAATAAAATTTTCTAAATTACGTGGAATATTCTCCACATCTTGAAACAAGGTGATCATACTCTCTCTCTCTCTCTCTCTGTGTGTGTGTGTGTGTCTGAAATCTCAATAATGTGTTACATTCTTAAATCGCTGTCTCTGCTTTTTTATTATTAATTTATATTATTGTTTTCAATTTTATTTTGATTTCAGCCTTTCCTTTTTATTCTGTTTCTTTAGCATTGTCGGGATTTAAACAAATACGTTTCTTTCAATTTCCATTTGCTTTCCGTTTTTCTCAACCTGAGTATGCACACTGTGGCTGCAAAGGGAACATAAATATGTCACACTTAATTTGGAATTTGGCTCTGCCCTTAATTTGTTTCTTCCATGTTTGAGATTTATTATGTTATATACATGCATGTGTCCCCATTATTGCTATATTTGTTTTGTTAATTAATAGTACTCTCATCTATTTATAAATATGATTACTAGTCAAATCTATTATTGCTAGTTTTAAATTTGGGTCTTAAATTTGCCAATTGACAACTAAAATGTCAACATATTATTAAATTTGCCACTAAATCCACATACACATGAGTGTGTGTATCAGTATACGTAGATCTACGATTTAAAATCACTCGGTGTATTTCACAAGACGCAGCAGTGGGAAGATGTGAAATATGAGGGGAAAAAAGGCGTGAAATGAAGTGGGGACATATGTCTAAATGAGTCCAAAATGTGTTTTCTGAAGAAAAAGAAATGACCCTGCCCCATTCACCACATTCCTATTACCCTTTACCTCCCATTCCCACTACCTCTACAAAAATAATTACAAAAAATAAAATTTCAAATATGCCATGTAATTCATTGGATTGTACTTCACAAAATTGTAATAAACAAAAAAGAAAAATATGAAAAGAGTTGATAAATATTAATACATACACTAAGCAGTAATAACATAGTAATTCATTGGATTGTATTTTTTTTATTTAATAATTTGCAATAATCTCTGCACGAGTGACCCCTCGTGTATACAAAATATGTATACATACAAACAATGACTTTCGTCTTTATATATATACATCTAGAAATTAACATTTTATATATTTGTTCATAAAAATAAAGTGATGCTCCATCTCAGCTTTGCACTTTTACTTTTTTTTTTTTTTTCATTCTTTAATCAAGGAAAAAGAATTATCAACCAGAGAATAAAAGTACTCAATATTTGTCTTTCGACCACATCTTGATCTAGCCTTGTCCTTTCATTTTCTTACTAGTTTTATTCACTAATAGCCAAAATTGTTATTTATATGTTACAATCAATATATCAAACAAATCTAAGACAATATTTAGGGTTTCATTTTTCTATTTGTTTTCTAGACAGTTATTAATTTATTAATAACAAAATAAATATCCCATAAAAAAGATGAGGCATCTAATGTATAAACCTAGTCTAGTTAGGCATAAACAAAATTATCTTACCACTGATAGAAGAGATCTTCTTTTCAGACAAACTAAAGATCTCATGCTCACACACTAATACTAGAATAATACTAAATTTTAACTTTGAGGATCCATGCAATAGATTTGCCTCTCTTTCCTTAATTCCTTTTGTCATTTTCTATGAGCGAACTTATCAGAGTATGTTTCCCCCCTACATATTATTTTTTATGTGTGTTTATTAATTAAAATATTATTATTAAATTACTTTTCTGGACATGAAGACAAAATTACAGTTCCAGTATAGTTACATAATTACATGCCCTTCTTCAGAATTAATAGAGTTAATAATATTATTCTATTTAATTTCCAACAGTTGAAATAAATCTATGTATGAATATGAAATAATCAAGAAATCAAGCTCACGCGTGCGTCCCGCCAAATTTCGTGGGTAGCTATTAATAATTATTATATCAAATAATGATGTCTTAAATTATGGACTAGAAGGTAATTATTATCCATAATCACTCGCATCCCAAAGTTATTCCCCTTGTTATATGCCTCTAATTCGAACATGCAATTGCAAATTTACAGGTCTAATGATTAATTACATGGGAGAAATTAAAAATTAAAAAATTAAAAAAAGGATCCCTCCATCATTTCATTAAAAAGAATCGGACCATTTATTTAACCCCTTTACCCCACAAATTATTTTTTGTCTAATAAAGAACATTTTGTCAAATGATATATCCCACTATAAAAAGGAGCCTTCATTTTGGACCCAAATTTACCTATTCACAACCTTATTTTTCATCCTAGTCTATAAAGGTAAAAAAATAATAAAATGTGTGTTAACATATAAGGCTGATATTGAACTAGGATTATCTGTTTATAATCATATTTAAGTTATGAGTTACTTTGTATTTGGTACCCCTATTTTATTCTAATTATTACAAAACTCTCCCCGTCATTTTATTTCGTTAAGGGAGTTATGCGCCCCGAGCATTTTTGTTAATATCGATAACATGATTTTTTTAGCAATTCAATATAACATAGGGGTACCGAATGCAATAAACTCTAAATATTATTGTCGAAATGTGAACATGGTAATGGTCATGCTTGTCTCGAGGAGATGTCACTTTTAAGACTTACAATTATGTAATCTATAAAAACGTAAGATTTAATAAATTAAAGGGAGCGAATCGAATCAAGTCTTGCAATAATAGGAAAAGTAAAGTTCGACTAAATTAAGGGTATAGTAATACTTACTTCTGACAAGTTAAAGCTTGAGCCTTGAGGTGTTTTACTTGATTTCCAGCATCTAAAAAGGAGGGAAAAGAACAACAAATATAAGAAGGCAATTCCAAGTATATAGAGCTTAAATTTATTCAAATAAGTTGAGCATGCAAACTTTCTTAACCCCTAAATCAAACGAAATCCGACAAACCTGGATTACAGATTATTCCACAGGCCTGCAACTATAGTTCATGGTGCATATCCTAATCTCCCACAAATTAGTGAATGATTAAAGGTAATGATACTCAAAATCCTGGTTTAAGCTTTTTAGCCTTTTAAAACTAAAGTTAACAATGTCAGTTATAAAATAATATACAGCCCGGTAGCATGCAAAAGAATTTCATAATGGATTTTTTAATCCCCATAGCATGAATATATAAAGCTTTGAGTGAAGGAATCCCAAGAAGGAATATATAGTTTGGCATGTTACTAAAGCCAGACAAACCCATTGAAGCACAAAACAAGATGAGATTTCTTATTTCTAGGCGCATCGGTACATGGGGATTGGTAAATATTCCAAACAGATCTTTAGCTGATCATTATCACTGTTTCCGGAGTTACTACACATGATTTTAAATCAACTAGAAAAAAAAGCGCTTTCGTTGCAGCTTTTTTTCTTTTTTTTTTTTTTTTGGGTTTCTTTAACACTAAAAATTGCATGAAAATCATCACTGTTTAATGAATTCTCAAAGTTCAAGGATAGAGCAAAAGCAAAAATCTGCTGGCTGTTTTGCTTTTGCTTCATCACTTTACTTTTTTCTTAATATTATAAAGTGATAGACCTGATCGCTGATGTGAGGGGGGAAAAGGAATAATCCTAATAGAAAAGACTAAATTCTTTGCTTCTCTTTTCGGGCCCTCGATTTCCATTGATGCAGTGAAATAATGAACGGGCCCAAGCAGAGCTTTACAGGCTGGGGTATGCATCACTTTAGAGGCTAAAAAAACACTAACTCTAAGCCCATATTTCAATCCCACAGTGGGGAATTGTGCAGAAGTCCATGCATATATAGAGATAACATTCAGTCTTCAGTGCTAAAAAAAAGTTGGCCCAGAAAGCTAATGATTGAATAAAGGGTTCAGATGTACCAGATATTTCTCGATTTGAGTCGCATGGTCATCTCTTGGTCAATCCAAAAATAGGCAAGCATTTGATTTTTTTTATTTTATTCTGTTTGCCAGATTTTTAAATCCTGCTTGAGGCGGATGATTCCTTGGGGGTCCCCTAACGGCTAACTCTATGTTGTTAAGTATGAGGTTTTAGAAGGGAACCTGAAAGAGGAAAAAAAAAAGATAATATTATTATCAAAATAATATATTATTTTTGTAACGTATGAGATTTTATAGACAAATGACATATAATATCATAATTTAATAAATTTAATACAAGATATAATCTAAGTGATGTATTTATTAACTAAATAATTAGTTAATCATTAGACAGTTAATCAATTTTGATATAGTGCAAATTAATTCGACATATGTAACTAATCGAGGCCTAATTTTCCTGGATAACTTTGTATTTTTCAATTTTATTTGCTATAAGCATTGATATTCGCTAAATAGCATAAACAATGACCTTATTCTTGTCACGGGATTTGGCTGGCTGGCTGAAGTAATTTGGTTATTGCCTGAATCTTGCTCTCTATTGATGGAAGCCTTGCTGCTGCCTTAGCGTACAACTGAACCTTAGAGCCCCTTGATTTCTCGTCTCCATCATTTGTCGTGGCTAATTGGCAAAATGACTGCAATAAATTCTCAGCTGCAGCTTCCAGATTGTGTAATGCTTCTTCACATGATCTCACAACTTCCGCCTCTCTGACTTTATCAAGGGCTTCCCGGCCTCTGATATTTACAACTGTCGTGTCCAATGGCATTTCAGTAGCCGTTGTGCACTCAGGGATTTCAGTGGAATCAGTTGTGGGGGTGATATCATTAATTTGTCTAATTGAGCTCGGTGATCCATTTCTTGCATCCTGTGGAAATGAAACCAATATTAAAAGAGTGATAACATGCTTATAAAGTGAATCTTATGGCAATACTGAACTAGCAAGGATCGGTATTTAGCTTAAACCAAAAAAGGAAAATGCTCTTTTTTGTTTGATATCTCATAGTTGACCGGCTATTACCCAAAGTCCTAACTAAGAAACTTCAATGAAAATAAAATTGCATTATTGTGTACCTCTCTGGAGTATTTTTCATGGGCCAAACCCTCATGCAAAGTTGATGGTTTCGTCTGAAAGAAAATGGAATTGGTGTTCTTGATCTTTCTCGGGGATCCATCTATACAATCTTGGGTGTTGTCTTCAAGAAGTTCTGGTTGCATTATACACAGAGACTGGCAGCTACTCCTGGTCGGTAACTTGGACACATCTATCTGCAAAGATAAAGAAAATGTCATATTTTCTGCACTTACTCACCACCAACTCAGGGGGGGGGCAAATGAGATGCATAAATTGTAATTGTAATTGTAATTTCCAAACCTTCAGTTCTGCAGACGAGTTGCCAAAACTCGTATTGCAGAATTCATTTCCTTGAGAATCCTTTCTGGGGACATCAACATCTTTATCTGCGTCATGGGAAAATCTTAAATTGCTACTCCAGAGTTGATAAGTACCATCATATAGAAACCTCAGTTATACTGCACTTACACTCCTCAAAAGGGGCATCCTGTAAATTAGCATGCTCATTTTGTTGGAAGTTGGGTTCTACAGGAGGACAATCACTGCTGTTATCCAAAGACGAGAGCTTGATGCGCTTGTTGGAATGAGTTGTGAGGCCTTGTGCTGCATAAGAATCATAGTAAGTCATAACACTTTGGCGAATTAGATCTCACTTGTTAATACCAATGATAGTGTGCTAATAGAAGTAGCTTACTGGTGCATCTGCTTTCTGTTGCAGATCCCTGCACATTCAGGCCCTTTAAATCGCATGTTTCGGGGGTACCAAGTGAATCCATACAAACTGTATGAATGGTTAACCAACGATGGTTTGTCTTCCAGCTGCTCAACCACAGAAATAAATGTAAGAGAACTAGAAAGGCAAAAAAACATACTCATTAGTCATTGCAGAATAAAATTGCCTGCTCACCTATAAGTTCCCGGAGGACTCGGAAATACTGGGCTGCTATGCGTCTCTGACAGACTTCTGGAAAAGGACCCACCTTGTTGGCCAATTTCTGGAATATCACTAGATGGACTTTGTGATCTTAGACATGGATATTCTTGGACACCAACCTAATGGCAAAATTCGCGGAACGTGTGAATTTTCTTTAATTTGATAGCGCGTTACTCACTCTATTTTACAATGTCCGAGGTGAATCAGTGTTGTTGAATTATAATTTTTTAACATCCAGAATATTGATTTCCCTAACGATCAAAACACAGTTGCTTTTTTCCGCAAAAAAATTACTAGGAGAAGTTTTGAAGTGTGACATTGTCAATGTTTTAGCTGCCGTACCTCGGACGAACTAGAATCTATATTTGCGGGCAGGGAGTTGTTGGTAACTTGATATCGTGCCCATTTCGGAAGTTGAGATATACTGAACCTAAATCCTGGAATTTCTGGGCTGTTGTGATCTTGGAAAGACATTTCCTCGCAAAATTTGTTAAGATTACTATTTATAGAGGCTTCTTTGATATAGCCATTGTTTTGATGGTCAACGACTAGGTCAGGCTTTATCACATTATAAGTCCTGGGCTGATTTGTGCTTTCTGGCGGAAGCTGAATAGGAACATCCTTAATTCTTTCCAGAATCCTTGAGGACAGAAGAGCGGGGAGTTTCCAAACAAAAATACAACTGTCAGCACCAACCTGAAGTCACCAGAAAATCAACAATTGTGCAGAAAAAAATATTAGGAAAAAGTGTGAAAACATTATTAAGCCCCAAGGAGAAACAAAGAAACATGCTATTCCTGTAATTAAGAAATAAAGAATCTGGGAGGTTGAAATGCGGAAGGAGGGTGAAAGACAGTTCGGTATGCTAATTTCTCATCTGCAAATCATCCTTTCTAATAGGGTATTTTATCACTTGCGCCTCTCATAATCATATTTTCAGTTAAACTTTGCTGCGTTTTTTCAGCACCATAAGCTGTTTTTTTCTTAAACCAAAAAGACTACAAATCATGCACTACTAACAGAGAATATTTGAAGAATTAAAATGAAAATGGCTTACAGAAACAAGATGCTTGCAGTCGGGTAAAAAGATGATGCCTGTTATAACATCACCGTGTCCAGTTGCTTGTGCAACCATCTCCCCACTTATGTAGTCAAATATGCATATAGATCTGTTCGAGTAAGAGCAAGCCAGATAACTGTGGCTTCCATCAATAGTTACCTGTAGTCAAAGAATCGAATTTAATATCTAGATGAAACCGCTTGCAGTGTGTATGGGCATACCTTAATTGGGCTCCCAACGTCTCCATCATTCTGAAACCATCTAATCAGTTTTCCAGATTGAATATCCATTGCATTTATCTTCTTATCCTGTGAAAAAATCATGTGAAGGATTATACTAAATCCCTCCCATGAAAAAAATGATATGGGCACACTATTTGGACTTGAGAAATAAATGTTTAATGTTAAGGAAGCATATTTCAAAATTTAAAGTGAAAATGTGGAAGGTAGAGAGACATGCCTCGATCATATTACCTGGCCCATGGTAAAAGCAACATTGACTGAATGACCTATAGCCACATCATAAATGGTTCCAGTAGTCGCAATCCTGTGAAGGCCAGAAGTCTTACATTCTGTCCCACTCACATCTATACTGTGAAGAACCAGAGACCTACAGGAGAATATCAGTTGAATCTGTGAAGGTAGAGATATTAGATCAAGTGGTGCATGTGAAGCAACACATTCGAGCCATATTCCATAACATCGCATTTGACAAATTAATATACATGTTACTAGCCCTTCTAGTAACAAAGAACTCACCTATCAGCACCACAACTGAGAATCTCGCGACCACTACGTGCAACCTTTACTAAGGTAACGTTGGATGTGTGGTATTCAATACTGCCAAAGGAACTAAAGTTCCTGGTGCCATAAGTAGAAGAATGAGATGATAATTAAAATTTCAGTCAAATTGTTTAACATGCAAAATGCTTCACAATCTAAACCTTTCAACATCAAAAAGATAGATTCTTCCACCCCGTGCTCCTGCAGCGAGAAATAGGCGACTTTCTCGAGTTTCATTGGAATCAAAATGGTTCTTGTCTGTCATGTTAAAACTTAAAGAAAGGATTTCTGCACCATGGTCATCCTACAATCAATACAACACATAAACCAAGGTAAAGGCTCAGAAAGAATATAAATCTTTGAGGAAGGAAAGAAGATAGTTGTGAAAGAGGTGGATCCTTTGTCATTTTGAAGATGAATAAAATGGAAACTAACTTAAGTTGTTCTTCTTACGTGAATGAAAATATAACCAAAAGTGGATAAATTGAAGACATGGATATTTCCTTGGCAATCACATGCTGCAAGGTGCTTTCCGTCTAAACTAACTGCCATTGATTGAAACCCTGGAGAGGATACACCTTTTGCAACAGAATCACGCTCGAAGATTCCAGCACTCACTGCAGTCAGCAGGAGAAACGGAGTAGAACTTACCGAATCTTATCAGCAAAAAAATCTTAGATTCATTGGAAAGAGTATAAGTAGTACCTAAACAAGTGGCTTCATTGGAGCTGTCATCCCGGGGAAGAGACAAACTAGTTTCTGACAAGGCAGATTGAAATGCAAGATCCCACAACCTAATGTTACCATCCGCTGAACATGTAACAAAAGATAATCCACCCGAACAACCTTTAGCAACACAACAGAGAGATGGATCGTGCATATTTTCACACGGAACATTTTTAATGTCCCATATACATCCACTATGTGAGACAAGCACGCAAGACCTTGTAGCCTGGATAAGACACAATTCTGTTACTGCAATAAATCGCTATCACAAGTTAAAGACAATGGGTAGATGAATTGGCTATTAGATGAATTGGCTATGTCGAAGAACACTAAACATTATCAAAATACCTTGTGTATATCTATATCATCAATATTCCATATGTAGAGGCTATGATCATCATAAACCACAACTGCAGAAAAAAACATTGATTAGAAGAATGAATGGGAAATCCCACAATCAAGAACAGTTTTTCATTTACCAAGCTTTTCCGGTGTCGAAAATTGACAAGCAACGGCATCTGGAAGTGCAGGCCAATTTTGACTTTCAACTTGGCTATTGTCTCTTTGGCAGTCCACAACATTTGACTTTTTGCTTCTTTTGGCTTCAACATAACATAGTTCACCGGCATATTTAAGAGAGTTGGTTGAAAATAATTTTACGAGTCCATTATTGCATGCACAAGCAACCAAACTTGTGGATATCGATAGTGCATAACATTTCTCTACCTGAGATGGAGCATGAGAATGGAAACAATTTTAGATGAAAATTGCAACTCGAACTTGTATTAGCAAAATTAATTTCATTGAAATCAAATGATTATCAAATATATTTCTGATGTACAATTTGATCCAGGAAATGACTTCTTACAACAAAGTAGGAGTACGAGAATAACGAGTCTCGTCTAAATGCTTCTGTGATATAATACAAAAGTATTTCTTATTTTTATCCTTGTGTGTAAGATGGACCACAATTCATGGGGTTTGATTACAAACTCCACTTGTCTGAATGTGAATTTTTTTTAAAGTGCTTGCACGCTTAATTGCAATAAAACGAACTCAGTTTTCTAAGGGTAGCTTAGAAAAATTATGACGATAAAAAATTCCAGTGTAACCACAAGACATCTTTTACATCAACTATTTAAGGTCATTTTATTGTGCTTGGGTGTTTCTATTAGAAAAGGTGTTGCCTAACCATTTTAACTATACGACGTGTGGAACCACACGAAAAGGAAAACCCCATGTCTAGTACTATATACAGAGTATTCAAATAAAACTATGTGAATGGATCTAAATTCAGTAAACATAAAAATGAGAAACAGCCACATCTACCTCTAAGTCCACTGAGTTAACGACTGATGAGCCAAGATATACCGCGCATAAATTTCCTGTGAACCAAAAAAAAGGGGGGAAAGAGTATCTATTAATAAATAAAAGGCTGAATTTATGACCACATGATGTAGGTACTGACTGTAAGGTGTTTATTTGCCTTCTTCTGTAACTGCATAGAAAGGAATCTGTTCACCAGCCTGAATGTGTTTCATAGAGCTATTACTCGTCCATCTGGGAAATGTAACAACTAGAAATGACGATTCCTTGTGATGACCTAGGTCAACTTTCCTCTGCAAACTCACAGAAACGGATCTAGTAATTGCACGAGATCCAGGGGACCATCTAACTTTCCAAATCTTCAATTGATTCTTCTCAGCAGAGACGATGAACTTTTTATCCAACGAGAAGTCAATAGATGTGATAGGAGAAGAAACTGAAGATCCCTTGACTTTTGCAGCTAATATCTTATTTTGCCAGTCCCAGAGACAAATATATCCATCACGAGGAAATCCAACAGAGACGAGGTGTTTGCCTGTAAGTATCAGCAGATAGGATTTTAGACCAAGAACGACAAGTTTTTCAATCGGGGAGAATTCAACTTTTTATTTGATTAGAAAACTGGTTAAGCTTAACTGACCATCAGGTGACAGAGCCATGCATGCCACGCCATATGCATGGCATTTGAGCTCGCATTTGAAGGCTAAGGTGGTGCAATTCCATATCAATACTCCAGGTTGATGCCCTGACTGGAATATCATAGCAAAGGAAAATTTAAAAAATGTGAATTATAAGTTCTTGTAACTTTGCGTGGTACATCAAATCCATATAATGAAAATATATAGGAAGAATTCGCCACATCACAAGCTACTCACAGACCAAATAAAATGAGAAAGAAATGGTAGGTTTAGCTTCATGCCTAAAACTAACAAATTCCACAAATGATATACTGGAATTAGAAACAGTGTGTGATTGCTGAGTAATATATCATATTTTTAGTTAACAATAAAAACATCTTAATACATAGTTTATGTCCTTTGAATATATAAGGCCCCATTGATCTTCATTCGACACCTCTGAATTGCAATTATAGAAATAACTAATAAAACAATACCATCTCCGCACCCTCAAGTAAAACTTACAAGTTTCTCCATGAGGACAAATTAAATCACTACATTAAATAAAACATAATTATGCATAAATGGTAAATACTTCAATACCGCTCAATTTTGAACTTCTAGAGACTTGTATCTTCCTCAATGAGTTAATAATGATGTTAAACACAACCTTAGTATCATTTTTAATTATTTAAAAATATATGGGAAAGAGAAACCGAGTATAATTACATAAATACTTTAAATCGTAGACAGAAATATAATGAAATGATCGTACAAAGGAATGCCGAGCAATTATACCTCCCCAGCTGCAACAATACTTGCGTCACTGGATAAAGCAACGCAGCTCAATGGTTTGGGAACTCGATTCGGCGCCACCAGGTGTGACTGAGTGCCTGAACGAACATCGTGCAAAACCACCACACAGCCAGCAATGTAAGCGAATTTGGAACTCGAAATGCTCGACGACAATCCATTCCCGTTTTGTGTAGTCAATCCAATTATTTCCTCTAAAATCAGCTGCAAAAATTAAACCAGAATACAAATATCAATTGTTGAAGGTAAAAAAAAAAATTAAACGGAGAGGGAGATAGAGATCTAGGGTAATTCGATTTTACGCACATTGTGAGGAACGCGCGGTTTACTGTGATTTCGAGTTCGTTTCATGTTCTTCCTTTTCTGATTCAATCGAGAGCCCTAGCTAGTTGTGTTGTAGAACTTCTGTGTATATTTGTATGTATTTGTATGTATATGTGGGGGGAGAGAGAGAGAGAGAGGGGCGCGAAATCAGTGTGAATTAAAGAATAGAAATTTAAATGGATTGGGAGGCCAAATTTAAGGCCCAATTGAATCTATTAAATCGATAGAGGGGCCCAAAGTTATCTCCAACCCAAGTCCAACTTAGTCCTATTTTATTTTTCTCTTAAATATTCATAATTTAAAAATAAAATAAAAAATGACGAAATAAAGGTGGGAAGTACTATAGACTAGATCAAATGGCATGAGAAATGGACAAAGCCACGCCTCGATTGCACACGTAAGGACCATGTTACTACCTTGGAGGATCCGAAATTATTAATATGTATATAGGATAAATTATACCTACATCCCCGAGTTATGCTAAAATAACTTTAAGGTCCATGTAGTATCGGTAATTACAATTACCTCGCTGAAACATTGTTAGAAATCCTAACGGAATAATGCACCGGACAAGTTATTCTACTAGGGTTCTAACGGATCGATCTCCAGAACATGAAATATTGGCTCCGATAATTGTTTCAGGGGCGTGGCTGTAATTACCAATAATATAGAGACCTTAAAATTATTTTAGCATACATCAGGATGTAGGTGTAATTTACCATGTATATATTGTATTGAATATATATATTCCTACCTAATATCAAAGATTTGAACATCTCACAAGCTCACCAACCCATCCTCTGTTTCTTTCTTTTCATTCCTCAAATTAAAACTGTCGAAATTTATTTCTGCCTTTTTTTTTCCGCAGAAAATTCAGATTTATTATCTTTCTTCTGCAACAAAACCCCACTTTGAATACAGTTTGGCTGTCTCATTAAATAGCCACCATCGTCAGTATATATTTTTTTTCCCACATAAAAAAAAGGAAAAAAAATCTATTATTATTTTTATCTCTAATTCTTTAATCTTTATACAAAAAAAGAACCACGCCTCTGATTTCTCTCTCTCTCTCTTCTCTCTCTCTCTCTCTCTACTTTCTCTCTCTCATCAGCTCATGGCATGCGTCAGCCCGTGTAAGATACAGCTTCGGAGACCTTCGGGGCAGCCCACTTCGAATTCAGACCCGATTCGTTTTGGATTGCCTGCGCATTCGTTTTCGAGATCACAAGTTCGGAAAAAATGGGTGATGAGATTTTCTGTTGGGAGTGGAGAAAGATTGGGAAATCTGCATGCAAGGCGGAGGAGAGAGAGTGGGTTTGTGGTGGAGGAGGATGAGAAGAAGAAGCGGAGGAGGGGTGGCGGTGCGGTGAGGTGTACGGCGGAGGGATTAGAGAGGGAGCTGTTTGTGGGGAGGAGCAAAGGCGGATTCAGGGCGGCGGAGAGGTTTAAGGTGGTGGCGATGGTGGCGGCGGTGATGTGTTTGTGTAATGCAGATAGGGTTGTGATGTCTGTTGCCATTGTACCTCTTGCTGCCAAACATGGCTGGAGCAGTTCCTTCTTGGGCATTGTTCAGGTACCCTTAATTATTTTTATTTTTATTATTTTTATTTTATTTTTATATTTATTTTTATATTTTTTGTGGTTGTTGAGATGGTGATCGGTGGCGTAGCTTGTATAGCCGGCGCCGCCGCCGCCGCAGCCGCTGAATGAGAATTGACAGTGTGTGATGTACCAAAACCCTGATTTTGAACCTCAATTATAATAATATATAATAATAATATTATTGACTAGGACCATTATTTTAAGAATACAGAAAAGCTGCAGATATCTGAATCTGACTCAGTCACACGTGTCAAATAGTCAGCACATGATTAAGTCAAAAGTAAATCCTAGGTGTAAAACACATGATTAAGTCAAAGCAAACACATTCTTAGGAAAAACAATCCACAATTTAAGCCAAGAAATTTTCATTTGCCAATGAAAACCTCTGTTTTCTTTAACTGTACATCTAAAACGAATATATATAACATCGACATCGACGCTTATTTGTACTCGCTAGTATTTATCGAGACTCACTTCGTTTATATGAATCCACAAAAAAAAAACACTTATCATGAACTTGTGAATCGAAATACGTGCGCGCTATTAAAACACCAATGTACGATTATTGCTTGGTTCGTAAATGATTTATATCGAAGTACATTTGCTGATTTTATGTAACTATTGATTTATATATATAGTCATCGTTCTTATGGGGATATATGTGTTCATCGATAATCGGAGGAGCCTTAGTCGATAAATACGGAGGGAAAAAAGTAATTGCATGGGGTGCCGCTCTATGGTCTCTAGCAACTCTCCTCACTCCATGGGCGGCAAATCACTCAACCGCTAGCCTCTTAATTATGCGTGCTTTCTTTGGATTGGCCGAAGGCGTAGCTTTACCTTCAATGAACAACCTTTTATCTCGGTAAAAAAATTCCAAATATTCCTATTCTTCATTTTTCTTACCAAATATATAATGTAACAAAAGAAATAATTTTTTTCAATTTGTTGATGGATATTTGCGATATTATTAGATGGTTTCCGACGCATGAAAGAGCGACAGCTGTTGGAATATCAATGGGGGGATTCCAGATCGGGAATGTGGTGGGGTTGGTTTTAACTCCGGTGATGATGTCATCGATCGGAATTTCCGGGCCGTTTATTCTTTTTACTTCTCTTGGACTTCTTTGGTTAGTTACTTGGATTTTTAAGGTCACGAATGACCCTCAAGATTGCGCTTCTATTAGTGACTCTGAATTACGTTTAATTCAAGCTGGAAAATCCGATTCTAATGAAATTAAGGCCAAGATTCCATCTCTAACCCTTCTACTATCGAAATTGCCGACGTGGGCAATTATTTTGGCTAATGTCACTAATAACTGGGTGAGTTTCTTTCGTTTTTCTTTTCTTTTTTCCACATGTAGAGGGTACCGATGTTATTTTTTTAGTAATATAAATTAAATCTGCAGTGTGCTCTTTCATATGCAGGGGTACTTCGTTCTTCTGTCGTGGATGCCCGTTTACTTTAAAACTGTGAGTGCCGTTAAATTATACGTTTCTCGGGTCTTTTTTTCAAATCACATTTCTTTTTCGGTAAATTTGATAATAATATTTAGTGGTTGATGTGTTAGGTGTTTGATGTGAATCTGAAGCAAGCAGCTTGGTTTAGTGCAGTTCCGTGGGGAACAATGGCAATATCCGGCTATATAGCCGGTGCAGCATCGGATAACTTAATACAATCGGGATATTCCATTACATCCGCGAGAAAAATTATGCAGGTAATAAAAAAAAAGGAAAATGCTAATGTTTCACTGTAAAAAACACCCAAAAGTCTATACTAACATGTGGGTGACTTTCTTGATCGTGACAGTCGATTGGATTCATCGGGCCTGGAGTTGCATTGCTCTGTTTGAATTACGTAAAAACACCGACGGTTGCCGCTGTATTTTTAACAATAGCACTGAGTTTAAGCTCTTTCAGTCAAGCTGGCTTTTTACTCAATATGCAAGTAAGCTTTATTTATTTATTTTTGGCTTTGTTTTAGTCGTTTACTACTATTTTTTCGGTGAAAATTCGAATTAATTTTCCTTCTTGTGATTGTTTGTTTCAGGATATTGCACCACAATGTGCCGGATATCTTCACGGTATATAATATATATACACACTCTTTTAAATATTTTTTTTCCTCTTCCAAATATTTCGATTGAGCAGCAATATCGTACTAATAATTACGAAAAAAAAAAAATTAATTGCAGGGATTTCGAATTCAGCTGGAACATTAGCAGCAATAATTAGTACAATCGGAACAGGATTCTTCGTGCAGTGGCTAGGATCTTTCCAAGCATTCTTAACCCTCACGGCGTGCCTTTATTTTGCTACGACCGTTTTCTGGAATTTGTACGCAACTGGAGAAAGAGTCTTTTAGATGGAATGAATGAGATCACTTTTTTCATATAATTGAAAATTTAATGAAATTATACAGTAGAAACCTCGATAAATTAATAACCTCGTTTACATAATACATTTTCCCGATCCCGTGCTAAAAAATATTTCGTTAAATTAATATTTCGCTAAGTTAATAGAAGTTGACTGGTCTCAACTCTATTAATTTTATATTTAAGAAGAAATCAAGAAACTGATAAAATCTGACATGGGATCAAATTCTCAAGCCAAAAGCCAAAGCCAAATTTATATTTAAGAAAATAATTATATATTACATGGCCCAGGCACTGACACAGAAATATTCCAGACAAAAAACAATAAATGAATTTTCTTATTTTTGTCATGTGTTAGTTTTTATTGTTAGGTAGATGCAGAAAAGTTAAGAACAATGTACAATTGCTGCTGATCATTGACCTAAAGAGGGGTAAAAATAATAATAATAATAAAGAATTGATATATCATATGTGGATGGAAATTAGGAGGGGCCAATGATTGATCTTGTACAAAGCTCTCTCTTCACAATTGCCCATAACAAATGATGATGCACAAACACATCACACTTCTGTTCATCAACAAATATTCAAGATTCAGACAGCAACTATTTACCCTTTATCAACCAACTTTCTCTTCTTAACTAAGTTTTATTACTTCTTTCCCACAATCAAATTAAACAGATTCTTGGTGGGATTCCCTCTTTTTCTCTCCAGACTTCTTCAGTTTTTTTGCAGAATTTCATATTTAGTGATCTGGGTCGGGTCTGATTGTTCAATAGAATTGATAAAAGCCCAATAGGGATTTCGGGTCTTTCTAAATCGAACTTTCAAGAATAAAAAAGATTCGATTTTGGGATTTTTCTTTGAATTATCTATTTTTCCTATCAAAGATACAATTTTTATCATAATTGGTGATCTGGGTCGGGTCTGTTTGTTTGTTCGAAAGAATTGATCAAGCCCAAATAGAAATTCCGGGTTTTTTTTCAATTTCAAGAATCAAGAATTTCCGAATTAGGGTTTTTTTTTCTTGAACCTTCTATTTCCCAATCAAGATTCAATTTTTATCACAATTAGCAATTTGGGGTCACTTCAAATTTGCTTTAAAGACATGAATTTCAGGAGCATGGAAGAATTTTGGCCGTTCTACATGAGCCAGCACTCAAAACCAGCAACAAGGCGCTGGCATTTTGCAGGGACAATTTGCAGTTTTTTGTGCTTGGTATACTCACTGATCTTCAATTGGTGGTTTCTGATATTTGTGCCTGTAATTGGATATGGTCTGGCATGGTACAGCCACTTCTTTGTCGAAGGGAACGTGCCCGCAACTTTCGGACACCCGATTTGGTCTCTGATATGTGACTACAAAATGTTCGGATTGATGCTTACTGGTCAAATGGATAGAGAAATCAAGAGGCTTGGCAAGAGACCTATACTGCAAGCATACTAGTAATGCTTATGTTTTCATGTTCTTATGTTTCTTACAATTTCAACTTTTTTTATTGAAAACATTGTTTGTAATAAACTAAAGTGACCTTTTGATTTCCCAATGTCTTCTGTTTCAGTATATATACACCCCCCCCCCCCCGATTGTGTTTGGTATACTGGTGAAAAGTGTATTTGGTTGAATTTGGCTGTATATTACGTCTCTAATGATATTTGATCGAGATATTCGTGTTCTGTCGTAGCTTGAAGTTGCAGCCTTGAATCAGCCTCGGCAAATATTGTTTGTCAATTGTAACTTTTAGTGAATTTCATCGAGTTGTATCATATCATGCGCATATATAATATAAAATTCACACTTAGAATATATAAGCACAACAACAAAATCAATGTTAAATGAAAAAGAAGATTAACATATATCCCGGGATACTGATCCAGTAAAATCGAATTCAACGTGCTGTCATACATCAACATTTGCAATATATTGACTTACAAAGTGCTCTTCGAAAAAAGACTTACAGAAGTGAACTGCACATGAGCAAACGAAAAAGAAGGTAAACAAATTTCCTAAGTCAAAGCATTGCCTTCGATTTCGTAATTCAAAATCCCAAACTTGTAACAAGTATATATTTGTGCTTTGGGACACCAAAAGAATAGATAATTTCAGCTCCAATCTCGAGTAGACTCTGCAAAATCACAGTCGAGATTCTTTCTAATCGATCCCAAAAACACGTATATCGAACATTTCTCACTAAAATCAGCTCTAAAAATCACAAGTCAGTGTTCCTCGAAAATGAAGGCAGCGGCATCCCTTCTTGAGGTCGAAGAATAACAAGAATACCGAACATTCCAAGCATTGGAAGCACAAGCAGCCATTTCAACAGTTTGTAGTAATACATATGGAAAGTAAGTGAGAAATCATCCGAAAAATAAACTCCGTTTTTGTCGACCATCTCCACCATTACAGTCCCTCCAGTTCTTACTCCTACAGTTGGAAGTTTCACCCTATGCTTCCCTGCTCGATCGAATATTTGGTTTTGCTTAATTGTTCTCTCTCCTTGGTAATTACCAGGTACCAACAAACTTATCTGTTATTATTACAAAAAAAAAAAAAAAAAACAGATTAAGTACACAAGTAAAAAGTCAATTAGAAGAAAAAAATTGAAAAATTAATAGCGGAAGAAAATTACATACCGTGACATTATAAGGAGCTTGTGAGCCAGAAGGGAACCTGTATCTATCTACAATCTCGATTTCAACCCAAAAATTCTTTCCTTCTTCATCTCGGAAAGTACGTGACGATGGAGTAACATAAATTCCTTGCCGATTAAAACGGTTTGCTGCGTTATTTCTCCCTTGATTTGATGTTCTCCAAGTCTGGAAATTGCAAGATTTTGTTAGAGAATATAAAAAAGATATCAAGCGAAAAAGTGTAAAACACATGTAATTGTTCGGTAAAATATCCTTTCCTTGAGAGGATGATGTGGCGAAGGAGTCGAGAAACAAAAGACATTGCCATTCATCGTGGTGACTACAAGATCAAGATCATCCCCACCATCTATATTGTCAGCCAAAACCATGCTATATCTGCCATTAAACAAAAAAAAAAAAAATCAGATCAAGATCACGAATTGTTATTTATTAAAAGGATTTCAAATATCTTACGATGTTTCTCCGATATCCACCACGTCAGCACACGATGTGGGCCCGTCTATGAGGTACAAATACCCATCAAACGATGTGCTAACAATCGTGAGTCCCTTTTTCTTCTCACCACGTTTGCTCAAATCAACTAACAGAACTTGATTCATTACTCTGCCATGTGTTCTATAAGGGTACGGCCGTACAATTGATCCATCTTTGCCACTAAGAACATATATGTTTCCGGATAGTGTCGGAACAACCACCTCTGTGTGTCCATCCCCATCCACATCTCCAATCGTGGGACCCTAGGGACAAAATAGTAATTGTTAACATAGTGTAAACATATTTTATAGCTTAATTAGGAGTAGAAATATTGCAGTATTACCTGAGGAACAAGGCTCTTAAGATGTGTTTCCCAAATTTCTTCTCCCTGTGCAGTCCAAGCAGCAACATTTCCGTGTGCATCGGCTGTCACTAATTCGATTTTCCCATCGTCGTTTATATCAGCTGCAATTACTGCTCCTTGAATTTCAGCCATTTCAAGAGGAAACTTCTCTCTAGTTTTGCCTAAACCAATAAATCAACAGTTAAGTACAATACTGTTGAGAAAAGCTCGTATAAATGTTTGTATGAGAATTCTGTGCATACCTTTGTGGTCCAAGACATAAAACAAGCCAAAAGAAGTGCCGACAAGAATGTCCAAATTGCCATCACCATCCAAATCAACAACTGTAGGAGAAGAATATATGTAGGCACGGAAATTTCCAGTGTCGGTACTCATATCCAGTTGAGCAGTCCATTTAACTTGCTTCGTGTCGAGGTTGAAAACAACAATACCACCAGCTACATACTTTCCAATATCAATGCCACCAAGTTCCTTCAAATGCTCTGGATTGTCATAATACCTGACCAAATTATAAATTAATCAACTGACATTATCAAGAACAACTGTAAAGAAAAGAAAAAAGAAAAGGTGAATTATTTGCTTTTAAGAATAAACTTACTCGCGGTCAAAGAAGTAAGAAACAGCAACAACCATCTCATTGACACCATCATTATCTATGTCTGCTATTACCTGGAGAGAAATAAAAACCGAAATGTGATTCTATAGTTCAAAAAAAAAAACAAGCCAATAAGAAAGAAAGCTCCAAATACATCACTATACTTACAGGAGTGCACAAGACGTGTGCATCAATGTGAACGTAATCTTCCAATTTCTCATGCTGTGCTTCAGTCCATTCCTCGTCTCCCCACATGGTTTCATCAACATACTCATCGTAATCGTAATTGTACTCATCCGCCAGCTCATCGGTATCCCTGAACAACTCAAAGGATGAGTCAGCATCCGCTTCGAGACCTCCATTATTTTCCACTGTTGCAGCAGGAACATCCTCGTTTTCTTTCGAATCTTTATCTTCAAGAAGCCTTCTTCTTACAGTGTTTCCACTTTCTCCATTGCCAACGTTAGTTACAGTATCGTTTGTGCTTAGTGACAATTTGATGTCTGCACCTGGTTTAGTAACATTTTCCACCCCGGTTTGCGCTTGAGATGCATTCAGCTGATTGTGTGGAATATTATCGGGAGTTGTGCTTTTTGATGTGTCGTCGTGAAGTTTTTCTGGATTGGGATTTGGTGAGTCGTGGTGACCTGCTGTGGGGTGTGTAATATTCGCTGCCAACGTACTCGCATTGTCTGATCAAATATTTCAGCTGTGAGATACATGTTTAACACACACACACACACACAGAGGGGGGGGGGGATGCAATTGTAGCAAACAGACTAGCATTGTGCTTATTTCAAAGCAAGAAAACATAAGATCATTGGAGCAAATGGATTATGCCAATTGCATGTGAAGAAAAAGTTCACTGAAGGAAAAAAAAACGTACGAGCTAATGAATTCATAAGAGCCTCCTCGATGAGTTGGTCATCATGAACATCTGGGTGGGACCTGTCAACAGGATCTGGATGCAAACCGACATGCCAATCTTTTTTAACTCTCAACCTCGGAATCTCCAGTTTATCAGACATCATATATCCCGAAACCCTGTTTTTCCAGAAAATAAAATGAAATAAGTCACAATAAGCAAAGCCAATCATTTAGGACGACGTAGCGGAATGGAACGTTACCTGAAAAAGAGCACTTCGCCATTATAAGTGGCTAAAGCAATTTCTCTAACTCCATCCTTGTCAATGTCATACAGAAGAGGACTAGAGTGAACAGTTGACTGATGAAAAGCCGGCCACCCTGATAAATTACACAAAAACACAATAACTCATCGTTATGCATATTCTTTTATATACATCTGCTTACATATATAGTAAAAGATAACTTAGAAATAAAATATTTTCTACGTGCATAACAAGACATAGAGTCCGTAACTACTAGTAGTTTTGCAAACTGTTAGTTGTACCTGGCAATTTATCTCCATCGGTTCCTTCTAGGACTTCCAAGTAATGCACAAAGGATGGAACCACTACTTCAAGCTTTCCATCACTAAGATATAAAAGAATTTACATCAAGATTCTAAGTCAATACAAATCGAACATGGACAAACTTGTAAATTATGAAAAAGTGCATTATATTACAATCCGGTCATAGATCAAAATCGGAAAAAATCAAGCAAATCCCCTCTTGAAAAGATCATCTGATTATCCATCTAATATACTACCATAGGTTGACTTGACCTATCATTCGATTCTTCAATAACCAATATTCTTCAGTAACATATAATATCACATAAAATCTAAGAGAAACGAAAGTGAAACATAACATGAATAAAGCATTTAGATATACGAGAAACTTCAATTAAGACAGCTATTTTTACGTCACCTGTTAATATCCGCAATCAAAGGCGACGCATATATGCTAGAACTCACTTCAGCTTGCCATCTCAGTTCCAAATGCCGAGGGCATTGTGTATTCAACAATTCATCTTCATCACTATCCACACACAAAACGAACAATTACAATATATTACCAAACCGATCCAAAAAAAAAGTTGCATGAATACAAAATCACTTAATTTCAATATATTTTTGAACTGTTTTATCATAAACGAACTGACTGACATCACCCAATTATAAAAAAATTCCGCTTCTACCCATAACAACCCAATTCAGATGAATTTAATAAAAAAATAAATTTTTTTTTTGCCCCAATCCAATCAGAGTATTGAAATGCAAAATGTTGATCTAGAATAATAGCATTAAAAAAAACTTACAAATTGGGGTAACCTAGGGCATCGTCAGTGGCCTCACGCTCTCGAAATTTATTCTTTTTCTCCTCCTCCGCTTGAGAAACTCCATAATCGAAAATCAAACACGATAATAACGTGAAAACAAGAAAATAAAGAAACAGAAAACTCCAAGTTTTCATGAATTAAACACCCCCAAGATTTCGCTTAGTCTGAAACTGAAAATGAAACCCTAGGGAAAAAAGGGGGCGAGAAATTGTGTCAAGTCAAAGCCCCAGTGGAGGGTTTAGGAGATCTGAGAGAAAGAAGCAGTTCGGAATTTGGAGCATCGACGAATTTACAGAAGATGCATTCTTTAATTTTTCTTCTTCTCTTCTCCCTTTTCTTTTTTCTTTTTCTTTTTCTTTTTTCATTAAACCAATTAAAATCTTCTTATATGTTTAAATGCCCTTCTATTTCGGCATATTTGCACTTCGTTGCAGGCTGTAATAAGTCCATCAAATTATAAAATTATAATTGGAGAACCAAATTAATTTAAAAAAAAAAAATCTGAACCAAATCTAAATTAGTTTCAATAAGAAGATTCTTACATAAATTAAATTCGATTGCTAATTTTCTAATTTTTTTAGATAAAAATAAAAAATAAAAAATAAAATCGAATTACTGGTTCTGAATATTAAGGCCCATATACCCTATTGGGCTTGAGCTTCGTGGGCCTCCCAATAGGATCTACAACTCCTACTTGTGGGCCGATGGCTTCCATTTGAAAGACAAATGACTCAAATTTATTTATAATCATCCAAATATTTATTGTTTTATGTTGCTTTTTAATGAGTTTTTATATTGAACGTCCCGGTTAAAAAATTGGGTATTTATTAGATTATTTAATCTTATCTTATATAGTTTTATTTTTACAGCCGAACAAGGCCTACTAAACTTATGTAATATCTGACAGAAAAAAATATCATTTGAATTTCAATACAACTTTTTTCACTCTGAACACTCACAATACGAGTATTTTTCTGGTTAATTTGAGAAGAATAAACAAAAATGCATGGTAAACTATGGTAGTAAATTAAAAAAATTGACGATAAATTTCTGAAAGTTGAACGTAAACTTTGAGAATTTAGTATTTCAAAAAACATGGTAGTACATTCTACAAAATTGGTAGTGAACCTCGACCGTAAACGTTAGCATAACGCACCTCATACTCGTCGTAATACATGTCCCGCACTATTCACAAACACGCTTCACGCTCTTTTAAGAACTTTTAGCAAATACCAATACGAGGGTATTTTCGTAAAGTGTAGGAACAAGAGAATTTTATTATAATTATTTGAAATTAAAAAAGAAAACGTGTCTTATTGCTAACCAAATTATCATTTTGATGGACTATAAAGTAATAGAAAGTTGCCTAAAGAAAAAGGCCTTTCTTTTTTTAATTGGAAAGAATAAAGAACACATAGGTCATAACGCCAGAAATAAACATTGGATCCAACAAAGAAATAATATTAATTAATTAGATTTTGTCAAAAAATAAATAAATTAATTAATAAATTGCAATTAAATGCATCCCAATTTAAATGGGAACAATAACAATAAATAGTTTAGGCTAATTGGCCTAGAGAAAAAGTCAACGCATCAAAAATGTTTTCCGATGAAGACTTCTTCCACTACAGCCTCCTCTCACTCTACCTCATCACACCCCCCACTATCTTCTCTCTCCTCTTCCTCACCGCCCCTTACGGCAAGCACCACCGCCCCGGATGGGGGCCCACCATCCCGCCGCCGCTAGCCTGGTGTCTGATGGAGAGCCCCACTATATGGCTCACTCTCCTCCTCTTCCCCCACGGCAGAAACAGCACCAACCCACGCGCCGTCGTACTCATCTCCCCTTTCCTCCTCCACTACCTCCACCGGAGTTTCATCTACCCCCTCCGCCTCTTCCTCAGAACCCCCACAAACCAGATCAAGAAACCGGGTTTTCCGGTGAGTATAGCTTTGTTGGCTTTCGGGTTTAATTTGCTGAATGCTTACTTGCAAGGCAGATGGGTTTCCGAGTACGCGGATCTTGACGGAGATGGGTGGTTCTGGTGGCGGATGGCCGGCGGCGCGGTGGTGTTCGGCGGCGGTGCGGTGGCGAATGTGTGGTCGGACAGTGTGTTGATGGGCTTGAAAGAGGGCGGCGGCGGTGGTGGGTATAAGATACCTAAGGGTGGGCTTTTTGAATTTGTGAGCTGTCCGAATTATTTTGGGGAGATTATGGAGTGGTTGGGCTGGGCTTTGATGACGTGGTCATGGGCCGGGCTCGGGTTTTTGTTGTACACGTGTGCTAATTTGGTGCCAAGAGCTGTGGCCAATCATAAGTGGTATTTGGAGAAATTTGGGGAGGATTATCCCAACACTAGGAAATCCGTCATCCCTTTTTTATATTAATTAATGAGTTTATTTGTTAACTTTAATTTGATTATTGTTTGTGCTTATGTTGTTGTGTTGCATGAACTTCTAATGTTTGAATTATTTTGCTAATTCTTGTAATAAGATGTAAGTTGAATTTAAATCATTTTACCACGCAATCTTAATGAAAAAATTGTTCGTAAATCGAAATTTTTAAATTTTTAGTCGCATATAACATAAAATACATAATAATATTAATTTTATAAATGTAAGTCTCGAAACAAAAATTCAATTTACCGAAAATTAAAATCGGAGAGGATACTGAATTCTAATATGTATCCTAATTTCATTCCCGGAAAAAAAAAAACAAAAAAAAAAATGGAATCTGCACCGTAATTTCGTTCCAATTTTCACCCATAATTTATGCAGGTTGAAACCTATTGATGGACTTGAAAAAGGCTAGTGGTGGGCTATTTGAGTAGTTGGGCTGGATTTGTGTACCCTTCTCATCGAATATTATAAATAATTTAAGAAAAAATATATATTTATCAAAATTACATAACAAAACATTGAAGAAGGTGATGGAATTTTAATGATGAACAAATTAAGATTCGTCGTCTATTTATAAGGTCTGATTGATTTTTGTAGAGGAAAACCCTAGATAAATTGAATCCCAATTCCGTAGTGACGTAGACTACTAGGTTCTTAATCATGCCTTCCTGCTCCGCCGGATCTCCGAGCTTGCTTTTTCTGCCACCGTCTCCAAATCTCTTCGGTGGTTATGGTTATGGCTCTCGGTTACGTTTAATCTATCGAAACCGAGATGCGCAGTTTTCGATTCGGATTAATCGGAAAATTGATTTCCGATCTTCTCACGGGATGAATATTTCTCCAAAATCGTCTCCCAATATTTTCGCCGGCGGTTGTGTTGGGATCCGTACGGCGAGTATTTCTGACGAATCAGTCCCTCGTTTGCCTCCGACTACCTCTCCGTGGCTGATGCTACCACCTTTCTTCGGAGAAGGCGGCGGCGGCGGAGGAGGAGACATGGTTTATAACTTCTACAGCCTCGCGGAGAACGAGGTACTGAGTTTCGCCGGCGACGGAAAATCAGAACTGCCGTTGCCTTACGAAAATGCCGAGTTTGTCGGATGCTCGCACGGATGGATCGCTTTGTTCGACAACAGCAACTCCGATCTGTTTCTCTTCAATCCAATTTCCGGCCGCCACCTAAAACTCCCCCCAATTAACAACTACGGCTGCGTAACCAACGTCATCATTTCCTCATCCCCCGACGAAGAAGAAAAACACTGCCGCGCAATGATTACTTACGGCGTCGAAGACAGGCTGGCCTTCTGCTGGCCTGGCCGGAGCTTGGACTGGACTCCCATCGGAAAATATTCCTCCACCACCTCCGAAATCAGGTCATACAAATCATGTGTCTACTCCACAAACCAAAAACTCTTCTTCTCAATCACATCAGAAGACGAGTTCGACGCGTGGGACCTACGCGACCACAGGTATCCACGTAGGATCCCAATGGATGACGTGGCAGTTGACTACGGTCAAACCTTCCTCGCTTCAATGGACAACCACGAAGCCGAGATCGGCTACCTGAGATTCCTCGTTGTATCCGACCACTCCGACGAACTCTTTCTCGTGAGGCGTTTCGTCATGGAGCGAGTGAACTCAGATGATGACTCGGACGATGTTCCGTACAAGACTATCGGTTTCGATGTTCATAGATATTGTTCAAAGGGTAGATTATTCAAGTACATGGATAAGGGCTCGTTGGATGGATTGGCGTTTTTTATCGGTATTAATCATGGGTTTGCTTTGTGCGCCGATGATTATATCGGATTGAAGCCTAACTCTATTTATTTTACCGACACGTATAGCCCACCGGATAGGTGTGGAAACACGTACGGTGGGCATGATATTGGTATTTTCAGCTACGAAGACGGTACGGTGTCACCGTGTTATTATCCGTGTGATGTCGGGAGCATACAAAGGATTTCACCATCACCTATGTGGTTTACCCCAAATGTCCCGATTTAGATTTATTTTTCAATTTTATTTGTGGGTTTTTTCGGAGAATTCTTGCCATGTTATAATCTATTTTAGCCCATGCAATTAAAAAATTATCTAAATAAAAATGGAGTTAAAAGTTAGAAGCAGCAGTCTCATTTGTTTAACCAGCAGTTTCGAAATATCAAAATTGGGCGATGCAGGTGAACGATAATTGTTTTTGTAATTTGCCTTTTCACCATTTCACCAGATGCCACTATAACTCGATTTTTATTTTACGCAAATGTACTCGAGTTTCGAAAATACCCAGCATCATCTGCCGAAACATTACATTCAACAATCAAACTGAACTAAAATCAAAAAAATAATTTAGAAACAAACATCCAAGCAAATTCTCTACGCCACCTAACATTTTTCCAAATCAAAATCCCCAAAACTAGAAGTAAAAAAAAAAATAGAAACAACATAGCATGTAAAATATAGTTCGAACAACAATCTTCACCTGTAGTAGAATTTTCTCAGACAAAGCTTCGGTTAACTTCTAGATCGACATTTACTTGAGATTCATCTACTTCAGAGTCGTCATCTTCGTTATCTTCTAATATCTCAGCCACCAACTTCTCATGCTTCTCCTTTAATTCCTTTGAACTTACAGCCTCCTTTATGACTTGTTTCACTTCTGCAGCTAAAGCCTCGATCTTACTCTTCGATTCTTCATCTGGTGTATCTCCTGCTTTTGCCACCTCTGCCTTTAAAACCTCGATCTTCTCTTTCAAATCCGAAGAGTTTACGAAATCGTCTATAATCATAGTAACTTCCTCATGAAAAGCATCTACTTTCGCCTTGGTTGCTCTGTCTGAAGAGACAACTTGCAACCCCAATGAGTTAAGGACATCCTTAAATTCCGCATCTAATTCTGCGCTCAACTGTGCAATCTTTCTCTGTAATTCCGGGCTTGCATCGACATCCGACTTTGCTATTTCAGACTTCAGCGTCTCAATCTTTTGTTTTATTTCAGGCCGATCAACAAACTCGTTGAATCTCTTATTGATTTCGATTTTCAGTTCATCTTTGGTGGCGCTCTTCTTCGAGGGATTTAGAGAATTGGATAACTCTTTCAGAGTATCGAGCTTGTATCTCAGGCTGGAGTAATTAGGTGCTGTGGGAAGGTTTCTCTGAAACTCTTCCATCAGGTGCTCGATTTTTTCCTGTAAAGCAGCAGGATGTGCGAGCTGGTCGTTCACATTCCTTGCTTTTGCAATTTCTTCACGCACCATCAGAATCTTTTCCTCCATGCCTAGAGATTTTGCAGCCTTGTCATATTCATAATCGAGCTCTATTTTTAGCTTCTCAATCATACCCTTCAACCCTGTATCTGCAGACCCTGAAGAAGATTTACTGGCTTCTAGAATCTGTTGTTTCAGTTTTTCAACTTCATCTCTTAACTCCACTTCCGAAGTCATACTTATAGGCATTATGGGTTCTTCTTTCTTTTTCATGTTGACCTTTCTTTTGGGATCGATTGGAATTCCTTCCTGGAATCCACCAAGTTTCCGGAACTTTTGAGCCCTGTGTTTTAGAAGTGTTTCTGTGTCCATCTTTGTAAGTTCCTGCCCGATCAGAGATGTATCATTTGAGTTTCTTTCGTTTACAAAATGTATATAAACTAGTAAACTCAATAAAATGGAAAATGAAGAAAGTGCCACTCACATCCATTGACTCAATAATTGCAGTTTTGATCTGTTGTGAAGTCCAATAGGAATCTGCATGTGCACCACCTAGAGGTTCCTGCGAAAAGCGACAGATTTAAAAAATGCAAATTAAATCAGTTCACTGAACCTGAAGATAGATGGTGCAAATAATGATACGAGGTCGATTTATTAATTGGTCTACGTTCATAGATGGTGAGAGAATGAGAAAATAAGTTTAACGAGAATTCCATGCTCAAAGAAAAATTTACAGTTTGCTTCTAGAATAAATTATGATGTAAAGAAAGATAATGGCAGGAAAACAGAGAAAATACGCTTAAGGAACAAGTACAATTTGCTAGTTCTAGAAGAAATTATAATGCAGTTGCAAGGAAAATAAAACCAGAAAAGGGAAGGAGAATGAGTATTACAGGGATAACACCATCACAAATTTGTAGCTTGGTCAGCTCTGTAGCTGTTATCTTTAGCTTCTCAGCAGCCTGAAAAGAAAAGAAAAAAAAAGTTACAACTATGACATCCGTTCTTGACATACATACCAGATTTGACATCCATAAATCACCTTTGGTGAAGCTTTTGCAGTCTTCCATAAGATTGCAGCACATGCTTCAGGACTGTGACATGGAAATGGAAAGGCCCAAGTCAAAATCTCATAAATCAGGAAAAGGGAAAAAAAGAGGTGAAGGAAATGATTTTAGCCCCGTAACTTCACATAAAAGATGTGAGGCCAAGTACCAAGACGCCACAAGAGGTATTTGAAATGAAGACAGTTGAGAAACATATAGAATTCCAGAAGGAACCCAAACTGATGATTCACATGCATTTTTGCAGCTATTACAAATGTTCATTGCAAAAATAATAATAAGAAGTGACAGGCCCAGGGAAGCAATAGACTAACAAATGCGGGAGCTTTACAGGATGTGGTACAGAAAATGCTCTCATGGAGGTAGTTTTCAAGGAATTTACACCGTCTAAATATTGTACCATAAATGCAATTTAGATAATAATTTTTTTTTGTTGCAATCCTTTATTAGGTAATGAGACCATGAACACATGAAGCAAGTATCTTAACATGGATAGTATCAGCATTAAAATGTGATGAAAAAAAGAACCTGGCAACATAGAAGACTGCATTTTCAAGCATTAACAGCTTGTTAGCACAGCCAATAGCCAGAGCCCCACCAGAGCCACCCTCACCCATAACAATTGAAACAATTGGTACTTTCAGACCGAACATAGTCCTCAAGTTCTGTGCTATTGCTTCCCCCTACATATAAAATAACACCCGATTAGCTTGCACAATTCAGTCATCTCTAGGACTTTGCGTTACAGAATGACTATATATACAGTACTTGGCCCAGTTCCTCAGACTTAAGGTCAGCATACGCCCCTGGAGTATCAATGAAGGTGACAATGGGAAATCCATGGTGATCAGCATAATGCATCATGCGTAGTGCCTTCCTGTAACTGTTCAGACCAATATGTTATTGTCAGTACCATATCCTTTTAAAGGAATTTCCTTGTTAAATGCTTTGTTGGAAAATCTGACTACAAAAAACATTATGAATGATTGTGTGTAGATTACATCTAGGACAGGTTGTATTGCTACTTTTCACATTGCAAAAGTTCATGAAGAAGGTTCAAATTAAGAAATAATGTTCTATATGCATACCCGTGAGGGGTAGGCATCCCAAAGTTGCGCTGAATATTCTCTTTTGTGTTCCTTCCTTTCTGTTGGCCCATGAACATGTAACTTCTGCCATTTATGGTACCGAGTCCAGTGACTACTGCAGGATCGTCATATCCAGCTCGATCACCGTGGAGCTCTACAAACTGGATGTACGTAAATGAAAAGATTAATTATAGTCTTCTTTATTTTACTAATAAATTTTATCAAATAGTATAACATTGTAGCAACTATGTCTAGTAAAATGCATTTATTTACAAAAACAGAATCTGAAAATAAGAAATTGGATCAAAAACCTTCTCAGTAATATTGAAGACATGATCAAGGAATGTCGGCCTGTTGGGATGCCGTGCAATGTTCACACGTTGTATAGGGGTCAGATGTGTGTAAAGATCCTTCAGAGCCTACAATATACATGATAAGAAATGAATAAAATTGGCAGCTAGCATCACATGAACACATGAGTTTGAAGTTACTTAGTTGATATGGCAAAGAGTACTTAATGCTGAATATACCTGTTGATATTTATTCTCTAGTGAGATAATTTGATCGCTGAAATCCAGGCCAGTTTCGTTTGCCATCTTTTGCACCTGTAGCATGAAAGGAGAAAGGACTAAACCGAGGGATCACATTTTTTATGTGAAGGGTTATGTCGATAAATGTACCAAAAAGGTTTAAATTGGTCGTACGTCGATTATTTTTTTCTGCAGATCCATAAGAGGTTTCTCGAAATCAAGTGTGACTGGCTTTGGCTTCTCTCTCAAAGGCTTGAAAGGAGAGAGGTGGCTAAGGACTCCACCCTTAACATCTAGGTCGGGATCTTCCGGCCACGGATATTCATGCTTTTTAACTTTCCTGACCTTGGCAGATATAGTGAAGTCTCTCCTTTTTGCCCCTAATTGGGATCTTCCAAGGGATCTTAGGGGTACACCACAGGCACCATTACTCGAGCTCCTAAGAATATCTGAAGCAGTTGGTTTCGAAGCCAAATTCCCAGTGAATGACGCTGGAGGCTGGGTGACAGAAGCCATTTTTCCACCTTGTAATCAGAATAATCTGGATCGCGGAAATAGATAATCCCAGAGACAATAGATAGTGGAATCATGTTAGAAATTGAGGATTGACGTTCAGAAAAATGATAGTTATTGACACACTTTCTTCAACTTTGTATGCAGGAGCAAATAATTTATGCACAGATTGCAATTAAATTCTCAATTAAGTAATTCGGCGAGCTGAAAGTTCGTGATTTTTCGGTATTAACCGCTGCAAGTGAACGAATATAATAGGACACACAACTAATCCAATAAGCAAATGAATGAAAAGAAGGAAGCTTAACAGAAACAAGCTCCAAGAACACATGAATCAGACAACAACAAAATTAAGCGAACAAAAAGCAATCAATAGTTTCTACACAGCAACTACTCGATTCACTAGCAGAGCGAGGTAAACTTCACTAATCAGCTGAATTACTAAAAATAAACAAAAATTAATAACCCCAATTAGCTCAAATCACGCCGATAACCCAAAACCACAAGCGCAGATTCAAATCAACATAGGGTATAACACATGCATCCAGCATTGAAGCAATTCGATCTTAATATCAATTAATTATATAAAAAAAACATATGCATCCTCGTGAAAATAGAGAAGGAAAACAAACCTAATAAACCGAATGCAGCAACAATGGGAAACGACCGTATAATAATGGATATGACGAAGAGGCCGATCGGAGGAATTGAGAGGAGTGAGAGAGTGAGTTAGAGAGAGAGAGAAAGAGAGAGAGAGAGGTTAATACGGGAGAGGGAGCATAGGAAAGATCGTCACTAATTACAGATTTGCATAATTTTCGATGATTTCTATGCTAAATAAATTGAAAAAATAAAAATAAATATATAATAAATAATAAAAAAAAAATATATATATATATATAATAAAACAAAGAAATTAAAATTAAAAAATTAAAAATTAAAATAAAAAAATTATTGGGCCATTGGGCTCGATAATTTCGATGTTATGCTTCTTAGGGCAGACCGTGACAATTGGGATTTGGTAACACAACACAAATTGGCAAGTTCTCACTAGTATTTATGTTTAATTTCAATTAGCTAAAATTTATAAATCTTGCCAAAAAAAAAAAAAAAAAAAACCAAAATTTATAAATGATGAATTGGAATTTTGTTACACTGAATTTGTTGTGGAATGGTTTCATTTGAGTGTATGAAGCACGTTATTTATTCAGATTAATACTTGCATTGAATAATATTTTATAAATATAAAAAAAAAAAATCATTAGTTGATTTTTTAAATAGATTTGAATAGTCAAACAAATTTTCCTCAGGTTAGGTGACCATGACATTTATTAAGGTCCTACCAAATTATTACAACTAGTATTATAATTGACCATCAAAATATTAAAATTAGGTGAATTGCAGCTACCTTCTTAGGTAATGCCAAATTACGAAAAATTATCTCATGTTTGAATAATTACTATTATCCCTTAACTATGAATTTTATTACATGTCAATTCTTGCAGTATCAAATTTAGTGGAATCTTTTAGATTATGTGTAGAATTCTTCAATTTGTAGCCGTTTTACCTCATTCAAGCTCCACATTTTGAACAAAGATCATAAGATGTGTCTCTTGACTCGCAAATATCGTATCGTGGTGCATCAAAAACTGCATTTTTGCACAAAACGAGTACAAACTAGAGAACATTCCACGGAATCTAGAAGGTTATGTGATTTGACACCATAAATGTGGACGTGTAAGAAAATTCATAGTTGAAGGATAATTGTAAGGTTGCGGCTATACGCAATACTAATTCCACTTGTGCAAGACCAAATTAAAGAAAGATTCCAAAAGATTCCATTTTATTAAGATGAAATGACAAATATACCCATAAATTAAATTGACTTTTGTTTGTTCATGCAAGACCAAATAACAAATAATAAAAAAATATGAAACAACTAAATTTCGACATTAAGGTGTCGAATATATGTCCATAAATTCGACACCTTAATGTCGAAATTTAGTAAATTTTGGACTAATTTGCTAACAGTTAAATTTCGACACTAAGGTGTCGATTTTTTACTCCAAAATCGACATCTCAATGTCGATTTTACCTACAAAATTCGACATGTACATGTCGAATATGAAACAACTAAATTTCGACATTAAGGTGTCGAGTATATATCGTTAAATTCGACACCTTAATGTCGAAATTTAGTATATTTGGACTAATTTACTAACAATTAAATTTCGACACTAAGGTGTCGATTTTGTACTAAAACATCGACATCTCAATGTCGATTTTTGCCTATAAAATTCGACATGTACATGTCGACTGCGTCTGCGCGGAATTTTTTTGGAAAAACGACATTCTAGCTAAAAAAATTAAAAAACACATAAATGCATAACTTCTTGGATTATTCCACTGTAGATCCTTCTATTTTGATGTCTTATGACTCCATAGTTGCCATCTTTGTAAGAATTGTTGAGTTTTGATGATTTTGAATGTTTAGGTTTTGTGGGTTTATCGATGAGGAAGAAGAAAGGTTTTGATGGAGAAGATGAGAGTTGGTCTTGTGGTTTTGTGATAGGGTTTTTTTTGTTTTTGAATTTTTAGTATTGCACATTTGGAATTTTCTATTTTTTTAACAAGTAAGGGTATTATATTATTTATACATTGAAAAATTTAATTTGATCTTGCACAAGTGGAATTAGTCTTGCATATAGCCGCAGCCTAATTGTAATTACCCAAACAAGAGGAAAAGGGGTAATTGCAATTTTATTTGTCAATTAATATATTATTTTATGAAAGCTAAATATATAGTTATTTTGATGGGCTAAAAGAAATTAATAGTAAAAGCCCAAAGGAGAGCCCACTTATTACATATCCGGTTTGTCTTAAATTAACAGAAGGTCCACTCTTTGACAAAACGCTGACGTTTTCAATTTCATCAAGACTTCAACTTTCGTTCTGAAATCCCTCGATCGTTTCTCATCTTCTCCACCAAACTCCCCCAATTTCTGCGGAAAAATCCCAATTAAAAGTAGAGCAATGAATAGTAGCTCTGAAGGAGGAGGAGGGGCGAGCAATGGGGGGATATTGTACCACGAGGTACAAGAGTCGAAGCTGTGCGCGGTGCATTGCGTGAATACGGTGTTGCAGGGGCCTTTTTTTTCGGAGTTCGATTTGGCGGCGCTGGCGTCGGATCTCGATCGCACGGAGCGGCAGATGATGCTCGGCTCCGTCACCGGAGATTATCTCCCGGAGCTTTCGCACAACGTTTCTCTAGATGGAGACTTCAGCATCCAGGTTTGTTTTTTTAAGTTTCTTTTTACATTAATTTTAATTTCAGTTTCTTCACGATTTCTATTTTTTTTTATTATTATTGTTTCGGCTTAGTTTAACGAATGAATGAATTTATGTTGGCGCTGTTATTTCTGAAGTTGAATTGCCGTTCTATTCTTGCAAAGGATGATTTTTTTATTTTTTTTTCAAGAATGTGATTGTTCTTTTAATTTTTGTTGGTGTTTCACGAAAGAGTGGATTTTTAGCTGAAAAACACACAGTACAAAGTGGAAGAAAAATGATATAATTAGGGTTTTTTGGTGGCTGATCAAATTAGAAATTAATTTGTTATAGTTTACCTTTAAGCAAGAAATTTTGAATGTAAGTTGTTACCACTATGAATTCATTTTGCTTCTTTGCAAGTGTGGGCTTACATCTGAGCTGTGTATCTTGGAAAAGGAATTAGCTTTTTTCTAGTGTCACTGCATTTCAACTTAAACGAGCTCCCTTTTACGGCTTTTGACCAAATAGGGGTTTAGATATTTTATTTTCAAGTAGTTTCTGAAGCATAACGGTCAAGTTAAAGTGCTACAAAATTATAAGTCATGTGGAGCAACGTATACGTGCATTGTTATCGTGTAATGACGATTTTCGGTGTGCCTTCATATTGCATAATCAACATTTTAATGCTCAACATAGTCATAAACTAGAGTAGGTGGTTTGCAAATGTGAATCCTTACTTGTATGATATTATACGATATTGGTACCATTACATGTGAAAAGTTGAGACCTTTATGAGTTTTAACATTTGGTTATGACCGGATTAATTTAAGCTCTGAATATGTTCATTAGTATTCACAACTACTCGTAAGATCTCTATAGGAAACATACCCCGTTTACTAAGATCCACCTCCATCAAACTTTCTGGTTAACGCCTAGTCAATTCGTAGACCTCTGCGCCAAAGGCAAGGAACGTGTCTGGATATGGGTAGAGAGTCTTAAAATTTTCGGATAATTTAATTTTATTGCAGCCTTGCATTTAATCTGTTACTGTTATTATTATTACACTGTAGACAATTAACTTCAAATTTGAACCAGTGTCGCTAGTTGTTCGCTAGTTGTCTTGTCTGGATAACATTTTCTGAGAAGTAGCTGAAAACACACATTTTAACCCCGAAATTTCATTCCGATTGAGCTGTTATTTTTTGTGTTTTCCGGAGATTGCTCGATATTTAAATGATTATGTGATAGATTCAGGGATAAGTATGTCAAACTTTAATTAGGACAAGCTTGTTTTAATGAGCTACACGACAAACTGTGCCCGGGAATCCCTGTTTAACCAAAAGTGCCTCTGATTCTTGATTCTGAAAATACAGCTTCGTTTTTCCTTATCCAACAGTAAAAGCAAAGTATTTAGTAATACGATTTTTTTTGTCGTGCAGGTTCTGCAGAAAGCTCTAGAAGTATGGGATTTGCAAGTCATTCCGATGAACAGTCCAGTGGCCGAGCCAGCTCAGATAGATCCCGAAAAGGAAAACGCATTCATCTGTCATTTACAGGACCATTGGTTCTGCATCCGAAAACTGAACGGTGAGTGGTACAATTTCGACAGCCTATTAGCAGCACCCGAGCACCTCTCGAGATTCTACCTCTCAGCCTATCTGGACTCGCTCAAGAGCTTCGGATGGAGCATTTTTCTCGTTAGGGGGAATTTTCCAAAGGAGTGCCCGATCTCTTCTTCGGAAGCTTCCAATGGATACGGGCAATGGCTTTCGCCCGAAGACGCTGAGAGGATCACCAAATCGTGCAACTCGGCTTCTTCTAGAAGAGCACTTGTTCCGTACGCTGACGTGGAAGCTGTACCGGACGATGAAGACGAGGATTTGAAAGCTGCTATAGCTGCGAGTTTGTTGGATTCTGCTCCACCACCACCACCACCACCAACTATTGGCGGTGAGCAACCTGGTACTTCGCCCGAGGAAAACAAGAACAGCGGCGCATAGAAGGCGTGAAAAAGGAAAAGAGACATGTTTTAAGGTTATTTATAGTTACCTCCCCTCTTAATTGTGTGTAATGTACAATTTTTTTCTCCTTTGTTTGGACAAAAAAGAACTGGAGATTTTACTGTTTTGATTACTGGGGATTATAGTACATTTCTTTTGTAATAAATGGCCCCATCATAATTGAATGTTGATAATTATTAATTTAGTGTTGATTGACATTATTTGATTGCTGACATAATATTTGAAAGAAGTTTCTTTACAATTGCAGTCAAAGATTACACATTACGCAATTCACTAATATCTCTGTTTGAATAATTATTTTCACACACCAAACACCACTTCAAAACATAGATTTCAGTAAAGAAGATAAACCACATGCCAGCTAATGTCTCTATCTCAAGACCAAGAAACACCGACCAAATACCTCAAGCCCAAGCACTACTAGTCCACTACTACCCCCACCCCCTACCCCCGGTGGGCCCAGTGGCAACTTTATTTAATCAAGCTTTTAATTTGTGGATTTGAAGAAGAAACAATGGAAAAGTAATTTCAATCTTTCAAGCTTATAAAAAAAAAAATTTTCAATCTTTCAAGCTGTAATTTGAGAACCACTAACCCCACATGTCAACATCATTCTACACAAATGTATATTCTGTATATATAAAAGCACCAACACAAACACTAAATCAAAAAAAGATTTATTGAGAGCTTTACAGAACAAAACTGGTCGTTACTTCCATTTAAAAAATATCAAGATCAATTTTTTAATTTTTTTTCCCAGGCAAAGATCATTCCTTTTTCTGTTAAAGAAGTGAATACATTTGGATTGATTGATGGGTTCTGTTTGTTTCTGAATTCTTGAAAATGGGTTCATCAGAAAAGTTATCTAACAGGGGTAGAGAAATTCATCAGATTCTTGGAGGAGGTCTTGGTAAGTCTATTTTGACCAAAATTTCATCATTAATTTTTTTTTTTTTTGTTTTTCAATCCAAACAATCCATATAAGAAAAGTTGAAATTTTGATATTTGGATCTAAGAATTTGAATTATTTATTTCCTGTTGAAAAACAGTTGCAGATGTGATACTATGGAGACAGAAGAATCTAACAGTGGGGATTTTAGTTGTAGCTTTGGCTGTTTGGGTTGTATTTGAGATATCTGGTTATACTCTTTTATCACTATTCTCAAGTGTGTTCTTTCTCCTCTTCACAATTCTTTTTCTATGGGCAAAATCAGCAGCAATTTTGAACAGGTGACTTACCTTATTTTCTTCTTTTTTTATGACTTAAATATGTTAAGATTAGACCTTGTAATGGATTTATCGTGTGAATAATTCGAAACAGACCGGCTCCACCTTTACCGCATTTCCATCTCTCAGAAGAAACCGTGAACGAAGCAGCAAATACAATTCGCGGTCATATAAACGTAGTGCTGTCTGTATCGGAGGATATTGCCCATGGAAGGGACTCGAGAATGTTTGTAAAAGTGGCTATTAGTCTTTTGATGATTTCCGTAATCGGGAGCCTAACCGATTTCTTCACCTTGTGCTATACTTGTGAGTATAAAAAAGATAGATATATATATCATCTTAAGATCAGAAATTTGTTTGCATGAATCTCTTTTTGCAATATCCGTTTTTGCTAATCCGTTTACATCCCTCTTTGTTTTGTGGCAGGCCTTGTTATCGTTCTTACAGTTCCAGCACTTTGTGAAAGATACAAAGATTGTATTTGTCGATATGGTCAAGTTTGGCACAGGAAACTTCAGCACGTATATGTAAGATTTGATGAAGAATGTGTCACAAAGGTTCATAAATGGATTTTGGAGACGAAGAAATTGAATTGACGAGTGATAAAATATTCGTAGATGGATTTTGGAGACGAAGATTTGATCCGATTACTCATTTTTTGGCTCCCTTTTCGCTTTGATTGCGGTTTGATTTTTGATGGAACAAAGGCTGCTCATTATTCTGCTGCCTTTGCCAGTGCCAAAAGCAATATTTAATCTGCAGTAGAACTCTTGAGACGGATAAAATGGCATTTTCTTGTAATAATATATGTTACAAACCTAATATAATGTACTCAGATGTTTTAGACAACATAATTTAAACATCAAAATCTTGTGTGTATTATCATTAGAATCACCACCAACCAGTGTTGCCCTACAACAGTAAGAAAGAAAAAAGTAGCACAACAACATATCAACAAAATAATCAAATGCAAGGACTGTTCTAAGTAGTTCAATTTGGCACAAATATCAGCAAACCAATTTTTATTTTTAAAACAAAGGCTAATCCTGTTGCCACCCGAAGCCAGGCGGAGCATCATGATTCCCATCACCAGAATACGACCTGTCCCGCTGAATCTGTGCCGATTGAGGTGGTGGAGGATTAGACATTGGCTGTGGTGCCAAAATTCCCTTCCCGTCCCTCGTGTCCATATAATTGCCTGTCGGAGGAGTAGGCCCCACATTCTGTCCATAATCCCCTCGATAAAACCCTCTTCCTTGAGGGTCAACATTCATAAACCCATCTGTATTAGCTCCTTGAGGTGGATCCACATTCATAGGCAAAGAAGTGGGGGCCATGTTCCACTGCTGAGGGTAATTTTGTCCGAAATTCACGGGTCCAGTGGGACCCGGCATGAAACCTGACATTGAACCCTGTCCAGATCCAGCTTCTGGTGTCGAATCCGTTCTTCCCATCTCGTATTGAGCACCAAAGAACTGTTGTGCTCCATCGCCTCCGTAAGGAGGGTAACCGAATTGAGGGGGAACCATAGCTGAATTTGGATTATTAACTGGTAAAAAATAATTAAAGGATCAATTAAATTCAGATTTTTCAGATATAGATTTTATTTATTTATTTATAAATCAAGAAACTGACCTGATTCTTGACGTAAGCCACCCTGCCCTTGGGGATCGAAAGTTTGCTGAGGAAAGCGGTTATGGGGTTGATTGGTGTCGGTGTGTTGTTGTTGTTGCTCTGATGGATAATTTGGAGCTTGTCCTGAAAAAGGTGGCATTGGCCTCGTCTGCTGCATGACGGGTCTTAAAGGTGGTTGTGGGTCCCTCGTTTGGGGTCTCTGCTGTGTTTTGTCTTCATGAACCTGAGAATTCGAACCAGGGGAAAAAACCTGCCTTAAAGGTGCTTGAACTGTGGAATCTGATGCTGAAGATTTTCTGGCACTTATAGCCTCTGTCTCATTTCCTTCTCTCTCCTTGCCAGGGTGAAGAAGGTCAGCGTGGGTCTCGTTTATATGCCACTCAAAGTCACTCTTCTTTAAGAAAGACTTGAGACAGTGAGGTGCTGCACATATAAAGATCCCTTCCATCATTTTGATTGTTTGGATTTTTTGTACACGTCCATCGCAGCTGTGTAGCAAGACGGATGACATTCATTAGCTTCAATCATTAATGATTTGATGCATGTACAAGTTAGCATCACAAGACAGGCATAATTTATTTCCTGGATGCTATTGAATGCAACATAATTCAATACGGTAATGGCAACTGCCAACTGTGTTTTTGTTTCTTTACCGGACAACTGAATAAATAAATTGTGCTTTTTACGCTGGATTTTCTTTATCTTATACAAAATCAAGCAGCTAAAACTCGAACGTAACACTATCATGATAAAATAACTAACAGAATGAATATGTAAGAGCCTTACAGGTAGCAGAGAGAATCACTCCTAGCACAATCCAAACAGAAAGCATGCTCACAGGGGCTCTGCAATAAGATAAGTTTGTTAATGCACTAATGAAATAACCATGCTGAGGATATATAACTGCATGTGGAAAATGTGTTCACTTTTTCTTGATGGCTTCAATCAGAAAAATAGGTACTTGTGCATAAATTTTATATAAGCTTGCAATGAAGACAACTGAAAGAAATTATTAACTTATCACTAAAATATCTTCCAGTAACTAACGACCCTACAATAGCAACGATAAATAACAAAATCCTAAAGCATGTACGAAGAAATCTAGCTTTGAAGTGATATTGGCACTGATGTGTAGTTTACGACAAAGCCAACTCTGGAACGGAAACATGTATATAATAGACACAGTTGACCACAAGTATTGGTAATTTGGTATCAAAGCTGGAAGATTAATCACACATCAACACTCACAAGCCTAATGGAATATTTCTGAGAGAATATACACAACAAGAGATCCTCCTCTGGCTCATGCCATACCACCGTAAATTCATTCTCCAGCCATGTATTATTGTGGAAGGTATAAATCATGCAAAAGGGTACGAACGTATATTACAAGATAAACAATGTTTAGTAAATGTAACACTTACGAGACGGCCATAGATAGCAATAGGGAAATCACATCTGACACAAAAATGTACACGTTCCCCAAGATGGCGGCGGGACCTACGGCCAATAGTCTTTATAACAGCATTGGCACTTGCTGAACCAAGACTCTTGGCTACTGGAAGATCGGCTAAGACAAGGTGATCAGGGCATGCAACTGTGACACTATCCGTGGGCGCAGGTTTTGCACTAACGCCAGTTTCATTAGCTGGCTTGCTAAGCCGAATTTGCAGCATCTTTCTTTTGCAGAAATCTAGGTGGCTTTCACTATTTTTTTTTCTCAACAGAAAATAAACGTTGATCTTTCCTCCTATAGAGAGTTAGGAGTACACACACGTCAAGATTTCAGAAATACAAAGCCGAACAAGAAACAACGAAAAACTGGTTTTATTGCAGATGGACCCAGCTTATTTATTAGTATTGATCTACTAAACTTGAAATATCAGATGGGGTCAAAATCTAACTTATCGCACACAGATCCAAAGTGACAAAAAAGAAAAAGAAAAAAAAAACGCCCTCGCAACATTTTCGTCAAACTTCAGAAACTAGGTTGACTAGGATACATATGAGGAGACGAAGGTCTTGTCTAATGCACACAATGCTCACATTCGTGTCTATCAACTACTTGAAAAAACGAATAAAAATAGTTAACTGATTATATAAAACTACGCAGTTTTACCATGGGCAAAGAAATTCATGAAAGCAATTGATATATTCAGGAAAAGCCACCATCCAGATATTTCAGAAGTATATATATTCATTTCCCGATGAAATCAATCGTACGGCACATCAAACATACACGAACAGCAGTAAGTTCTACGAGAAAGGTATACACTCGACAATACATGATTCTGAACTTTGTTAATCAATCTACTTGACAAGAAATAAACTCGGGATTCAGGCATATTAAATTTCTTCCGGAATACAAAAAACAGACAATGAAAAAGAAGAAGAAATAAACATAGCAGTAAAGAAATCCATAACTGAAAACAATCATGAGAATACATTACCAGAAAGGAAATTTGAATCGAGAACCAAATAGTTTTCGGTTAGCCCTAGGGATTTTGAGAAAGGGGGGAAATTGATAATCACGTTATTTCGTCTTCGTTAACGATATGAGATGACGCAGGATTGATGGGCCTCGATTTATAAGGAGATGGGCTTTTAGCCTCTGCAATTGGGTCCTAACCCTTAACTTAAGGAATATTAACAAGTTTTACATTTTATCTTATGTAACAACTATTATTTTTTCTTAAACTCGAGTGTTCAAGTTTATTATTTATTTATTTTAAATTGTTTTATTACACGAATACACGACCTTAGACACGGCCAGGCCGGCTTAGACCCGGATCCGACCCGGATTTGGACCTGCCCCGTCCTGGAACCGACCGGCATCCTTTGTACCCGGACCTTGACCCGACTTTACATGGGTCAGTTTCGGTCTCGATTTATTGGACCCGAGAGCCGACGGGTCTACCCGGCGGGGGGACCCGGGGACCCGTCGGGTCCACCCGAATAAAAAAATGTTTTTTTTTATTTTGGAAATGCAACGGCTATAAACCGTACCCGAACCAGACCCAACCCGGACCCGGTCCGTAAATTCAATTTTTTTTTTCAACGGCTAGAAACTCGGGTCCACCCGGAACCGACCCGAACCCGGTCTGGCTAAATTCAATTTTTTTTTCCCAACGGTCAAGATTAAAAAAAAAATAAAAAATCAAAAGACCAGTTTTGGACCCGGACCCGACTCGAACTCGGACACGAACCCGGCCCGTCCCGTGGTCGTGTCTAAACGACCTTGCAACACACGCACCTAAATTAATTTTTGAAGTACAATAAAATCCATTAAAATAATAATTTATTTCAGTCACGACTCGGAATAAACGTACTAAATTATTAGTTCCATGATTTAATTAATATTTTGCTAAATTAATTTTTTTTTTACTAGCCCCGACTGTATTAATTTATAAATTGAACTATATATAGTCTAATATAGATCCCTTTCGTATACTCCGAATAGGATGATTTAATACAAGATAGGTAACCGATCGGGCTATTATTCTCAAAACTAATTGCATTTAGCGCATGAAATTTTATAATCTTTCAAAAATTATCCAGAACAAAAAACAAAAATGTAATCACAAGAAATGGGGAGTATTGGTCCAAATGAAAACTACTTCAAATGTAAAGCAAATGAAAAGCAATTGAATAATTATACCAAAATGCAAGTTCAAACACTTATAATTACCCAAATGAAAAGAAAGGTACTTCAATTATCCAATACAAACTGTTTCCAACTCAACAAAATTTCAAAATCAACTACTTGGCAAAATCTTCTGCTTCACAATCCCTGCAACAACAAGAAACAAAAAATCAGCTGAAAATTACAAAGACTATAACGAAGGCAAATGCAACTTTCTCATGCAGTAGCTTAATTGATGATGTTCATTATGCCTACACACACAACCATTTCAGTGGATTTGGCAACAAGAAACTCAGTTACACTCGAAAAAGAAATTTACATAAGTATGCATAACTCTTTCAGTAAGTGCTCGTGAAAAAGTCTAAACAATGACCAATCACTGAAAAAAGAAGGCGAAGCTAGTTAACACATACAATTTCTAATTGAAAAACCAGAGTATGCATCTTGCACAAACATCGAATACTCCAAAGTTATGGCACGTGCATTACAATTTCAACCCTCTGATTTCCATGTCGAAGGGATAACTTGTAGTTAATTTGAAACCAATACACGAGAAAGACGAAAGGAATGGGATTAAAAGTACATTCAAGTCATAACATGCCAGATACATAACAGCAATATGTTCGAAACTAAGTTAATTCAGTGCTTTATTTTAAAATGTGTACTCTCGAAAAAAGGGATTACGGATAATTGTTGCAACAATCCAAAAACTAACTGTCAAAAAATAGCGAAACTCATACACAATCAAATTCAATTCAGTTATCCATTTTACAATTGAAATATTGAAACTAACAAAACAGAGTTTGAGAATGAGTATTCACCTCAAATGTTGCTCGGGTACATGAACACCCTCACTCTAGCACCCTGTTTGGCAAAATACAGATTATTACCACACCATGGAATCCACAAATCAAAAATTAAAAATCAACTCTTTGCTGCAGAAATTAAAAGTTACCATGGATTTAGGGGGAAGGTTGGACTTGAATTTGGCGCGAACGACGCCGCTGTTACCGTGAGGGCGAGCAACCTTGCCCCAAATGCAACGGTAGTGAGATCCGTCCTTCTTAACCTTAGCCTTGTAAATGTACGCCATTTTCTTCCCAAGGTACCACTGCACCTCCTCTTGTGTGTTCACTCCCTCTATCTGGATCAGCGACGTGTTTGGGTACTGATTCGACTTCGATCTACAATCAATTCAAATCAAATCGAACGAACACGCCATTATTTTATAAAATCAACCAAACACGGCTTAAAAAAAACGAAAATCAGACCCCCCAAAAATAAATTAAATCTATAATTACCTCTTGTATCCGAGAACTGTTCCACGGGTGTATAACCTGACGCGTTCGCCTTGCCTTCCCTTCACCATTTTTGCTGAACGAAAAAAGCTTCTACGGCGCTCTGAGTACTGAGGTGTCGAATTAAATGATTGTGGCTAAACCCTAATTCTCAAGCTTATAAAAGATGGATATTGGGCATATATATATTCGAAGCCCAAATAACAATCTTTGATTTTTTTTTTTTATTTTTTTTTTTTGTGTCTACTAAACATTGGGCTTTATTAGGACACAAGGCAGGCCCAGTATAAATAAACCTTAAATGAAGGTCAACAAAATAAAATTTAAGGTCAACAAATCCACTATAGCTTATAGATGTGGAAAATCATGTAAATACTAAATTTCATAATAATCCTAATTAATTTATCTTTCTTCCTCGATAAATAATGTGGAAATAATTTCATGCACGGTTGTTCATTGCCCTATTTTTTAACATGTAATTATAATAATGGGTAAATTAAAACCAACCCCTGAGTTACGGTCAAATTACGAAAACTCCCCTTCTGTTTAGCTAATTACAAGTTACAACCACCCCTCAATTATAAATCTTCTTACACATCCACTCTTGCGGTTTTAAATTTAGTGGAATCTTCGATATTATATGAAATATTATCACTTTTGTACCCGTTTTATCCCATTCGAATTCCACGTTTTAAAGCAAGATGATCATAGTATGTGTTTTTTGGCTTCTATATATCAGATTGTGATGCACCAGAAACTGTATTTTTACACAAAACGAGTACAAACTACAAAGTAGAGCACATTCCACGAAATCTAAATGATTATGTTGAATTTGACACTATAAGGGTGGAGGTGTAAGAAAAAATCATAATTAAGGGGTAAATGCAATCATCCAAACAAAATGAGTTTTTTCATAAATTGACCATACTTCAGGGGTTATTGTAATTTACCCTATAATAATTGAAGCAAGTGAACTCGTGGTTTAGTAGTTGAAGCAAGTGAACATTAAGTTCAAATTGGTTGTCGATTATTACTGCGACTCAAAAATATAGGGTACGAAATGATATTAATGGTAGTTTAGGGGTTATAAGCAAGGTGTGTGTTTAGCACGTAAATGAGAAATTATTAGCTTCACGTTTTGCAAATAAAATCCAGGCTGCCAAAATTATGCCCCCACCCCCCACCCACCCCCGACCCAGTCGAAGACAAACAAAGTCTTGCGTTTTCCTTCTTCATTAAGGTAGAAATTGCCATTTTTAATACCTTCATTTGCCTTCATCAATCGGATCATCAACTCAATTCAAATCAAGAGAAATTTTAGAGAGAGAAAAAAATGGAGCAGCCTTTGATATCACCAGGTATAGTCGCGTTTCCAATTTTCAAGCAATTCTATGCTTCGGAAAAATCGTGTCTTTCGCTGAGTTTCTGGATTATAAATCTTTGAATTTAAATCCTAATTTTAGAAATCTAGGGCTTGCTGTTTTTGTATCGATAGGAGTTTTGATCGCTAAACAACTTCTGCAAAATTACTAGAATTTCCGTTTGAAGCATTTTCGCAGCATTTTTTAAATTTTGTCAACGTTGTTTTAATTCGTGTATTCTTACTCTAATTGATTGTTTTTTTGGTTTTGATTAATTGATTTGGAGCTGTGAAATGAAAATATACTAATGCACTTTGCATTTTGGATACAAATATTGATTTATGATTTGCTTTAATTTGGTCTATCTGTTCCTGATTTTGTTGGTGTTGTCAAATTCGAATTCAAAATTAGTAATCAATACATGTATGTATGTATCTGTTTTATGCAGATTATTTTAAAAACTTAACACTACTTTTATTGATTCATTGAAGAAAGTAAGATATGGAGTTCGTACGTGCACGTGGGAAGTGCAGGCTCAGCGATCCAGACAGCTTCCTTCACCGGAACTGAAGTCAACGTCGATGAAATTCGGTCAGCAGCTGCTTATTCTAATCCCTACCCCCCCTCTCTTCATGCTGCTCTGCTCAGTTCTCCTGAACCCCTCTATCCCACTGGTAATTTGAATTTTGAAACTTTGTTTCCCCGATTATTTTTTCGATTGTCCAAGATATTACTTGTGTGCAACTCCATTTAGTGTTCTTCTTGTTTGTGTTGTTTCTAGCTGAGATTTTTTTCCTCTCTTTCTTATTTTTTCGTTTCAGTTGTTACATATGGTTAATATGTGGCTAATGTAGAGCCGTTTTATGAGCATTTTTTTTAGTGGCAATGCATATTGATTCTGTGGTGGTTTGTGGTTAACTTTGTTGCAGAGCAAGTGACTGGAAATCACGGGGACGAATATTACGGGCATTTAACACAAAATGCTGCTAACACACAAAGGTCGGTTTTGAATTTGCTGCTTCAGCATTTTACTAGTTGAAACTTGATTTTTTTTTTCTATTAACATACCACTCAGTATGCTCTGATGTTATATGTCATAGCATTTTATTGGTATTGCAATTGATTTAAGCTACTCTAATATGCATACTTTGTCCTGGTGCTGCAAGGCTTCATTGCTTTTACTTTGCTACATCAGTGCTTGAAGTTTGATCTTTTACTCGAACAAATAATATAATTTCATGGATTGATATTTGTGATGCAGTACATGTTTTCCACATAAATAACAAAGGAATGCACAATTCCTAACTCGAACATTAATATTTAAGTCCAGCCGCAGAGTTCCCATAAAATCCTTCAAATATTTCAATGCACGTATCTTGCATTTTTCATCTCCATAATGTGTGATTCTATATATTTCAAAATTGAAACTGTAGTTCGACGCTCTACCTGAAAGCCACTAGGTTTTGGAAGCTTGTTCAATATTGAATTATAAGAAAGGAAAGTCTTAAGCAGTTTGTGGAATCGTATTATTTTTTGACTTCTGCTTGGTATCGTTATGTTGCAAAAAAACTTATTGATGCAGTCATTCCAAATCATCCGTATTACTTCACAAGTTCAAACATACAACCCCTTAAAATGTCAAATTTTATGTTGAAGATTATCCTCTTTGCCTTCTATATCTTGCGCTTTACAGTGTCATTAATTCTTCAAGTTGTTAAAACAGGCAAGTATTGGATGACGTAGAAATACGAGAACTACTGATAGATCACGTTGGTCATCGTTGTTGTTGGGGAAGTCGTCCAGCTAGGACTTGGCGTATTCGGGCGGTGGAGGATTGCAATGTATATGTCGGAACACTCGAAAGTTTCGTTGAAGAGAGAGAAACAGTAACCGAAAAGAAACCCTACCTTTCTGGCGAAGTGGATGGAAAAGAAAAGGGCCCTGAACTCGGAATATGGGAATTGGATCTAAGGTCTGAGTTTCCGGTACTATTTACACCTCATAAAGAGTCATGGACTGTGATTCCTCATTCAGAAGCTGTTGAGAAATGCTCAGGTAATGAGCTAGTCGAAATATATATGCAACCTGATTTTTATCACCTCGTTTTGTGTACAAAACAAAAAGAAAAATATTGACATACTCTAATTCTGTCATTTGTGTAGGTTGTGGAGGAAAAGGAAATATTGCTTGTCCCACTTGTAATGCAGATAAAGAATCCGGGTTGTATAAGGAGAATCAGATGAATCCATGTACTGCTTGCTATGGGAGAGGTTTGATTGCGCATGACGATGGATCAGATTCAATGTAAGTGTTCTAAATTTCGGAATTACACGTGTAATAAATAGTCTATAGTGCTAAACTACTCAAATGTGAGTTTAATTTTGTTTATATCGACTCGTACTGTCTGTCCTTATAGCTCTAAGTCATAACTAATGCTTTCATCAAATTTTTATTTCGGTTTCAAAAATGAAAGGAAAAAAAAATCACAACTTTAGGTGAGTTTTATTCACGCGAGATGCCCGAATATTTATCTGCAGATGTAAACAATGTAATGGTAAAGGGAAGATTCCGTGTCCAACCTGCGGATCCAGTGGATTAATCAAATGTGAGACATGTCGAGGTAGCGGCTCTCTTCTGTCTCACAAAGTGGCTGTTGTTAGATGGTACGTATCTATCCACTTACATATATCTATCTAGTTTCCATAGCCACCTCATTCGAATACAATATCCATCAAACACTATTAAAATAGATACTGATTTGGGGATGGAATTTAGAGAACCGTTCAGGGGGTTAATTTTGTATATTCTCAATTTTCTTTTTTTAATCGACAGGAAAACGTTTAAAGCAAGAAAAGTAAGTGCAACAAGTGGAGCAGCATCGGTTCCGGATGAGGTGTTCCACAGAGCAAAAGGTGTGCAGTTGTGCAATACTCAAGCACAGCAGTGTTCTCCTGCCTTTTTCGCTGACTCGTATTTTCTCAATAAGTTTTCTTCGGAGATAATTGCTGAGCGAGCCCCGGTACCTCCTTCTGCAAGGGTGATTTGTGAGAGGCATATAATATCTGTAGTTCCGGTAACTAGGGTTACTATGACTAACCGCAGTCGTTCGTTCAGTTTCTATATCATTGGAACCGGGAGAGAGGTTTATTTGAAGGATTCTTATCCTTCCAGGTTTTGTTGGGGGCTTTGCCCTTGTTTGGACTGGTTGAATCTGTAAGTTTGTTTGATTTTCTTACCAAAGTTTTTTTCTTTTTGGTTTGTGGCTGTCGGTGTGCTTTTGTTATGTAATATATTCTTTCTCTATTAACATTTGAGTGTTTCTGTATACTTTTGGGATGAGTATTTTCACTTTCAATAAAAAAAATGGTTATCAGTTCCGAGGCGGTTAGGGACTGACACACGACGATAAATCCGGTGCGGTGGTGATTAATCGAGATAAATCATGAATAAATCGGTTAATAGATTTAGTGAAATATATTTCTAAATATTATTTGTAAATGTTCAAAAACACATGTTAATAGATAATATCAAAAGATTGTATGATATAGCAACTTATTTAATATATATCAACTGGATTCCTTACGATTTGGGCCGATCATCCAGCAAACCAGTTTTTGCATCTACGAGAGAATAGTGGATTTCCACCCACGCGTACAGTTGTATATATTTTCAAGAATCTGCATGAGCATGAATATATAACTAAAGAAAAACCAAAGAAATGGAGCAGCCTTTGCTTTCAGTAAGTGAAGATCCAGTTTCCGATCTCCCAGATTATATCCGGCACCTCCTAGAAAGCAGGGTATCACGTGTTCTTGATAATATTTATGTTTCAGCAGGTGAAGATCCAGTTTCTGATCTCGAAGATTCTATCCGGGAACACGTAGTAAGTGAGGTATCACGTTTGATTGAAACGATTTCCGTCGGCGGAACTAATATCGTAGTCGATGAACATGGTTTAATACCCTATGATTCCGACCTCTATCTTTCCTCTTTTGGTGCCCCTTATCTGTCTTCTCCTGAACTCCGTCTTCGTCCTGGTGGTAATTTCACTATCATATTATATTTTGTTTTTTTTCTCCCTGAAATATTTGTTCAATTATCCGAGAAATTATGTGTGCAGGTAGATCCATTTATTTAGTACTCGCCTTGTTGTTTTGTTTAGTTTGTGTTGTACTGTTGTTTCAAGTTGACTTTTATTTTTTTATCCAGATCTGTGTAGGAAGTAGTCAAACAGTGCATTCTGGCGTTTTATTAAGATCGTCTCAATCGCTTGAGTTGTTTTTATTGTGGAAAATTCGAGAACAAAAAAAAAATGAAAACTAACTTGTATTTGTGTAATCATTTTAGTCATTCAAAAGGTTCAATTGCTTACTTAGTGACTTCATTTTTCGATCCGTAATTTTTGCAATATTGGTTGTATTGTGAGACATAGTTACCTTGTTGCAGAGCAAACGACTGGTTATATTGTGGGCGTATTGCGCGGATTTTATACAGAGCATGTATCTAATGTACATAGGTCAGTCTTGAATTTACTGCTTCAACAGTTAACTAAATGATACTTGTAATTTTTATTAGCATACCACTAAAAATAGCTTTGGCAACCCAATTTTTTTTTTTTTAATAATCTAAACAGGCAAGTATTGGATGAGGTAGAAATACGAGAGCTGCTAATAGAACACGTCGGGCATCGTTGTTGTTGGGGAAGTCGTCCAGCTAGGACTTGGCATATTCATGCGGTGGAAGACTGCAATGTTTATATAGGAACACTGGAAACTTTTATTGTAGAGAGAGAAACAGTAACAGAAAATGTACCAGATCGGCTATTACCTAATGCCGTAGACACAAAATCCGAGGCTCCTGTACTATTTACACCTCGTGGTGAGTCAAGGACAGTGATTCCTGAGTCTGAAGAGTGTGTCAGATGTCCAGGTACGAGCAACTACTAAACTAGATAAATATGCAACTCTGGTTGGCTCCTTGCGTTTTCCATCGGAAAAAAAAATCGCATCTTTTTTTTTGTATTTTCTTAATTAATCATTTCATTATTTGGTGTAGCTTGTGCTTCTTGTGGAGCATTAGGAAAAAAATTCTGTCCCACTTGCAATGCAGATAAACTTTTCAGGGAGCTGAAGGTTAAATGCCCTGCTTGTAATGGGAGTGGTGTGGATGGATCGGATTATGTGTAAGTGTCTAAATATTACCCGTATAGTTTACGGCTGGATGAATTTAAGTTTCAAGAATGGCCTTTATGTTTTTTTTTCTTTTTTTTGGCTCGAGTCACAACTGATGCGTTTATTAAGTTTTACTAACTAATAATACGGGATAATGTTTAAAAAAGTAAAATAAATGTGCCCTCTTTTTCATGATTGCTATTCGTACGAACTTTATTTGCAGATGTAAAAAATGTAACTTTTTGGGGTCCATTGTACAAACTTGTCCAACATGTGAAAACCTAGGATTGATCGACTGTGATACCTGTCTAGGACTTTGCTATGTTCGGAGACGCAATGTGGCTGTTGTTAGATGGTACGTATTGATTCACTTGCTACGGCTTTAGTGAATACTTCTTGAACATAAGTTTTTCGTAAACACATCAAGGAAAACAATCTAAACTTTTTTCATTTTTTTTATTTCCTTTTATTTTTTTGGCGCTGACAGGGAAACGTTAGTAGCAAGAAAAGTAATTGCAACTGGTGGAGGAGCATTAGTTCCAGATAATGTGTTCGAAAAAGCAAAAGGATTGCAGTTGTTCAGTACTCAATCACGCAAGTGTAGTCCTGCTACTTTTGCTGACTCGAATTTCCTCAATCAGTTTTCATCGGAAATAATTGCTGCGAGGGCCCCACTGCCTGCTACTGCAAAGACAATCCGCGAAAGGCATAATATCTCCGTTATTCCAATAACTAAGGTAATCATGACTAACATACACCGTTCATTCAGTTTCTATATCGTTGGAACGGGCAAACAGGTTTATTTTAAGGACTCTTACCCTTCGAGGTTTTGCTGGGGGCTTTGCTCGTGTTTCGATTGGTTGAATCTCTAGTTTTTTTTTTTTTTTTTTTTTTTTTAATTTTACGTTACCGAAGTTGTCTTTTGTTGTTGATATATACTTTAAATTTGTGGTGTGAGTGTGCATGCGATATTTTTCTATAGTATATGTGTGTTATTATTTGATGCACTTCAAACATATGATCCCATTTCTATACAAATAAATATGCTAAGGCAAATGAATTAAATTAATGTATTTCACAAATCCATGCTATAAAGCTGATTTACTCCATTCCAAAGAATGTGATTATTTTCCAATATTGTTATTATTATTAACAGTAATCATGATCTCGGGCTTATTATTATTTTATTTTTATTTTCTCTAAATATAGTTTGGGCAGCAAAATAAAATATTTTGTAACGAATTAAATTCAATTTGTAATTAAAAGAAAATTTAAAGATAACTCACAAAACATTCTACAGCCCATAAAAGTCCAAATCTAGTCCATTTAATTTAATAGTAAGGTAAAGGTCCAATAACTTCTATTTACCCCTAAGCCCAGATCAGCCTTCCAATACGTCACCGTTTGCTGTCAGATTTCCAAATTCCCCCAATTGAAGCCCTAATTTTCCTTTCCCGCTGATTTGTATATGTTCATAAACTCATGGTGGATGATACTTTTCTGAGTAGATGACGAGATTGAAATAAAATTTAAGGGTAAAATAAATTTTGCACACACATACAGATACTATAGAAAATATGGCATTTACTCTTCCATGGTATCGAAAATTACAAAAATCCCCTGTTGTTAGTTATTATGTTAGTCAACGCTAATGTGGCACGTAGACAAATTTTAATTTTCTGGACATTTTTACCTCTTACCACACTAGGTATATGCTATTGTAACACATAAACTTCAACTTCTTACAATTTCCGTATTTAGAAAATGTTTCGTGTCGGAAACTCGAAAACACCTGTCGAAAACTTTATGGTTCATTTTCTAATTTCTAAAAACTTAGAAACATATTTGAATAACAAATTTTCAAATATTTTTATTGTTTCCCTAATAATTTTCATAATTTAGTGATCAATTGCAAATTGATTATTAATGGTAAAATTTATTTTGAATATGTTAAAAAGCACGTCTTAAAAGATAATATCAAAAGATTATTTGGTATAACTTATTTTAACATATTATATTAACGTATTGTTTTGTGTGTTTTGTGTATATGGTGTTCTACTCCTATGTTTTTCATGAATTATTATTAGGGTAATTGTACTTGGTTAAACTAGCAAAATCCCCTCCTTCAATTTTTTTAAATAACACAGTTGACCCATTGTAATTTACTTGTTGACCAAAGGTAAAAGGTCAAGTCTACCCTTCAATAAAATTATATAAAATCAGAATAACATAACATAGAGGCCAATTTGAATAAAAAACAAATAGGGCCAAATTATAATTTATGCTAAGTTTTATAAACTTAAGTTAGGGACTTGATTGTAATTTTTCCCTAAGTAAGAGAAATTCAATTGGCATATATCCAGAGTCCAGGTGGAGATGATGATGAATAGACGAGAGGAGATAGAGAGGGCTGATTGTGTCATTTTACATCAAAAAAATTCAATACCACAAATTGCGATTGAGTCAGGGGGCATTGTGCCATTAACTTAATTTTAGAGGGGTTTGTTTACTATTTTATTTATCAAAGGGGGTTTTTCGTTATTTTAATTAATTAATTGTGTAGGACTTAATATAACAGAAGAGTAGAAAGAAAAAGATAAATTAATGTGTTAAATAAGTGGGAGGCTCAAAATTGTGAATAGGCCCAAAATTATGCCTACAAACCGCATGCAGAATTCGGATGAATCTCAGCCGTTGAAAGAAACTTATCAACGGTGGTGGATGAAAAAGAATATTATAAATATACTTTTACCATTGATTATTTAATTCCAATCGGTTCATATTCAGTTTTAAATCTGTCAGATTTTCGAGAGATGAAACGCCGCCGCCGCGAACTGCCCTCCGCCGCTAACTGCTTCCGTTTCTTCGATGCTCCGACGGCTCACGCTCCGCCGCTACCTGTCATGGCGGCGCAACCGCTAACTGCTTCCGTTTCTTCGATGCATCCGACGGCTCACGCTCCGCCGCTACCTGTCATGGCGGCGCAAGTTTCTAATCGCCGTAGCTGCCCCAACTCTTCTTCCCTGAACCGCCACCGCCACCGTGCAGGTGCTCGTTGCCGCCCAGAAATAGCGGGCCTGTCGCTGGTCTTATCTCGCCGATTTTCCGGTCATCACTGTCGACACGACGATTTGGCCGCCATGGTTTATCTAAACCATAGCTATGGTTTTCACGGCACAATCAAATTTGACAGCCGTCGAGTTGGGATCACAAGATAGCTCGTATTGCTAGTCTCATTCTTTCAGATTGCTGAGTCATTTGCTGAGTCTGAGTCATTTAGAGAGTCATTTACTAAGTCTACAACTAGTCCAATCATGTCATATCTGCTATAGGAAATTTATTTCCTATCTTACTGTTTCGTAGTCAGATCAAATATTGTGTGTGATCAAATATTGTGTGTGATTTTTGGATGAATGTATATACTATATAGTGGTTATATTGTGTGTGATTTTTGGATGAATGTATATACTATATAGTGGTTGTTTGATTGATGCTCCTATTACAAACTTAATAATCATTTTAATTTTGTCGATATTTTAGCCCCAAAATTAATTACTAATTGAAGATTAATCAAAATCTAAATTTGGAAATGCATATTAAATGATGTCTAACATCTTTATAATGCGTTATAACTTATAAGTTGTGTGATAATAATAATAATAATAATAATAATAATAATAATAATAATAATAATAATAATAATAATAATAATAATAACTTATAAGTTGTGTGATAATAATAATAATAATAATAATAATAATAATAATAATAATAATAATAATAATAATAATAATAATAATAATAATAATAATAATAATAATAATAATAATAATAATAATTCATGATTATGGAAAAAAAGTGAGTGGGATTTTGATCTTATAAGAATTCATGATTATGGATGGTTCTTAATCAGGGTCTTTATAAGGTGAGATCCTGTGTTCTAAACTTTTATTAGATATTATGGATGGTTCTTAATCAGGGTCTTTCTAGGGTGAGATCATGTGTTCTAAACTTTTATTAGATACCCCCTTAAATTGCGACACGTATCACACCAAAAATACCTATTTTTTCTCCATTTATGTATTGTCGCAAATACCCTTTTTACAATTATTATTTTAAAAATCAGCAATTATAAATTATTAATGAAATGTCAATTTTACCCTCTTTATTTTAATGCAATTTTAAAAAATCAGTAATTATAAATTATTAATGATATGTCAATTTTACCACTCTTTATTTTTATGCAATTTTAAATATATATTTATTGTTGAATAAATTTATGGGATCCTCTAGGTGACTGCAGCATGCAGCTGCCTCCGTCTGTGTCGTTTTAGCACC